GCCGAGTTTGCGCGTTCGATAAACTTGCTCTCGTAAACCTGACGTGCGGAATAGGTGTCGAGGAAGGACCTGGATCGTCGCGGGCCTATTGAGCATGCGTAATCCCTCGCGCGGAGGCGCTGCACGATGGCCTCAGTGTAGCCTGAATCCTCAAAATGCCACCGGAAATAGATTTTTGCGATCACGTCTTGCCAGAATAAGACTGCGCTCGCGACGAAGAGATTCGCTTGTTCGCATCGCGTCCGTCATGCAGTACGTACTGCCGTGCCCGACAAATTCGAGCGGAGTAGAAATCCAGCGACCATGTGGTCGCCGGTGAGTGCCCCGGGCGGGATGACATGGATCTTTTGGCGCGCTTCACGCGCATTATTGCCAAAAAATGCATTCTGATTGGCGCCAGTCGAGATGTTTTCAAATTTATGTCATTCGATTCAAAGTACAAGCTCGAATTTAGGGGAAAGCAAGTTCGCCGCGTTGGGATCTTCTGCCTCTGACGACGTCTATCGAATGGCGAGGCGGCGCTGGTACATCATGATGTCCTTCATCGTCGCTTTGCCCGCCAGCACCTGAAGCATCATGTCGACCGACGTTTGTGCGGCCAAGCGCGTGATCAACGCATCGAACGCATCGGCCTCCATCGCTGCCTTCGTTAGCGGCAAGAGGTACCCCGCAGCCGCGACTTGGTTGGTCATGACGGCGACCTGCAACGGGCTCTGCCCACTGGCATTTTCGCTTGCCACGATTGCCGGATCGGCGGACGCAGCCTCTCGGAGCTTCTTCATATGCCCTTCCGCGGCAGCGTCCCAGATACTCATGGTCGCCCAGCGCGCTTCGAGGTCGCGGTCCGCAATGACTTGGTCGATTGTCTTCTTGCCTTGCAGGAACGCGCGCACATCGGGCGTCAGGCAGCTCACGTCGCACCATTGGAGCTGGTCCTTGGAGAGCGCCGTGCCGTGCGCAACGTAGAGCTCATGGAGATACTTGAGCACGTGCGGGTGGTCGCACGAGCAGCCATAGTAAAACGGTGTCTTGAACTCGGCGTCCTCGGCGAAGAACGGCTCGTTCTCGACCTCGACAAGCGTACGGAGAAGCGCAAGGTCGCCCGTCTTGGCAGCATACCACAGCGTCCGGGGCACGTGCGTAGAGCTTGTCGTCATTGAAACCAAAGCGAATATGAGAGTCCGAACATGATGCAAATGCTGTACTAGTAGTATCCTTTGGGGCTGAACCTGCGCATCAATGGAAGTTTCCGCACCTATTCTATTGATGCACGTCGCTGATTGGATTGTTTTTGACATGGACGTATCAGCCATGTATTTGGTCATGTACGGCGGTACAGTACATGTCCGATCGCCTTTTGGCCGCGGTCCTGTGCCGCGGCCGTGAATGGCGATTGGCGCGGGGTCATTGGTGACCGCCTTGAGCAGGTGCATCATACAGGTCTCTTTTGTCATGGGCGGCAGGTCGTTGTCCATGCCTGCGTGCTGTAGCGCCTTGGGCACGGTAGCCAGGTAGAGGTAGAGCCGGAGGTTGCCACGTCAGTCGGCGCGGACGCCGCCTTTCAGCGTGGTGCATCATGCACATCTTGTTGGTCTTCTGCGGGAGACGTTGTCGCCTCGCCCTTCAAAGCATGTAGTGGACGGGAAGCGGCGGAGGCTCCCGCTACAAGCGACGCGTCTGGTTGCAGGCAATGGCGAATTGGAGAATGAGGAACTCAGCGACGAGTGACAGCGGAGCGACCAACGCCTTGAAGGTGGCTTCGAGCGACGTCAAGCGCAGCCATACGGGCGCCGTCTCGATGAGCTGCTCGTGATGGGGTACGTCACCATGTACGCGATATGCACTAGATAGCAACCGTTGCGATTCCGACCGCCTCGAACAAGACCCGAACGCGCGGCAACGATAACCGAGCTCTTGTTGGCTTGACGCAGGTCGACGCACTGACGTGGGTCGTCGGAATTGGGTGTGTTGCCCTTGGGTCGAAGAAGGGCCGACGCGCCTGGCCATGCCGCCGCAATATCTGTGGCAAGGGGCGCCGCGAACTTTCACCAAGGGTCCATACACTTTCTATGGCCCCTTGCTTTTACGCAATGCTTCCTTTGATCACACGTTGGGAAGATGTGTTCGACCAATAGGAGACGACGGACACACTTTGGACCGCTGCAACTTGGACGTGCGCGACGAGCTTGGCCAATGCCGACGCGTGCAGCAGGTAGCGCAAGCGTGCGATTTCCATCTTGGGCAGTGCCAATATTTGGCGTCGGAGGGTTAAATTGTGGAACCTGTGAAATCACCGCCCGATACATCCTAGCACATCCAAGTGCCCAAGTAACCCGTAACCCATCTCGCTACAAAAAATGTAGCTGCACAGCGAGGTCGACTTTGGCATTTTCCTTGCAGGGGGCATGGCTCGTCACCGATTGCCTCGCAGGGTAGCGTCCACTATTTGAGTATACCGTGAACGATTCTCCGTAAACGTCCAACGTCACAAGTCGAATAGCACCATGTCCACATCGTCTTGCGTCGGCCGCAGGGGTTTCCACAGGTCGTGCTTGCATGCTACCTCGCGAGGTGACGTCGAATTGCATGCCAACATGATCACAAACAAGGCTGTGCGCCTGTATCAATTGACACCATGTCTTAACTTACAGGACAGTCCGTGACGCTGACTTCCACTGGCCAGCGCCCGTCGACCGTCGACGACTACTTCTACTGAGCTACGTACTTAGACGAGCATCCGCGGTCGCGCGATGCACACGTCGCTGGCGCTGGACGGGACGGGCGACACAGGACGCTCCCCCGAGAGTCGCTTCGCCTCACTCGCGCGAAAGAGCACAAGGCGGCCGTGTCGGTCCTTCCGGCTGCTAAACTCGAGCAGCGACGTCGGAGCGACGGCGGCCGCGGAGAGGCGCGCGCCTTTATGCTGCTTGAGGTCGGGGACGTCGAGGAAGCTCTGCCACTGCCCACGGAGGACGCACGCGGCGTCGACGCACCGCCCGGCGGCCATGGACAAGACCTCAAGAAAGTGGTGCAGGCGCACTTTGCGATCGTCGAGCACGCGCTCGGACGTGGACGAGAAGAGGTGGCGGCGCGGGAACTGCTTGGTGATGGCTTGCGTAGCGCTGGCGCAGTGCGGGCACAAGTGCAATTGCGAGAGCGCGTCGCGGAGGCCGCGGAACTCCGAGTAGCGCTTGTAGAGGAACCACGCGGTGGTCTCGGTGCGCGGGTCAGCGACGCGGACGACGTACTGCGCGTGGTGTTCGGGCGCCGTTGCCACGTGCGAGATGGACGTCTTCATCTCGTAGACCGAGGGCTGCAGCATGGATCGATGGTTGTGCGTACGCTTGGAAATTACTCGAGTGCGCACAGCGTTGCAGCACCTTCAGAGACCCGATCGCGCTCCGGTCGCCAGCGCGCGCCAGCATGGAGCCAGCGGTACGGTAATGCGACCGCACTGAATTCGGGTAGGATCGCTGAGATGCCATCAGATGCAGCCAATGAAAAGCGACCCGATTTCACTCGCACGGCAGGTGCGGTGCGACGAGGGGCCAAAGATTTCTGAACTTGCACCCACCGGGACTATTGGATTAGTACCAGTGTATTAGTCTAATAGTACGACCCGAGCGCTGTACCAGAGACGCCACTCTGCTCGCGCCACAATTCGCCACCGAGTTCCGTGGAATTTCCATCGAAACATCCATGCACACGCTACAACAAGGGCATGACGACGAGCAGAAGTGAGCCCCTTGCCATCTTCCATCAACCCCCGCCCGCAAAGACAGAGAGTCGGGAACCCTCACGAAATCAAGGGGCCATAAAAATGATAAAAATTTGGTTCACAACCGGAGTTTGACGGTGCGATCTGTCCTTATCGCACGTGGTCAGTGGCGACGACCCCACTATCCTACCATCGTACGTGTACACTCCTTTTCGAAAGCGCCGCCTTGACCGCGTCGTTCCGCATCTCGCCGCGAGCTCTCGCCGAGGGTAGAGGGAGTGGCGTCAGTACAGTAGTCCGCTGCACCTCTTCGTCACTGGGCACAAGATTGCCTCTGGTCAGTCGAGAACAGCTTCACTACGCTGCCACTTGGTGGATAAGAAAGCACCCTCGGCGAGGGGTGGCTGAACCATCGAGAGTGCTACTAGTACTGCTGACTGGTGATATCGAGCCTAGCGCTCAAGCCAGACAAGAAGACGTCCGTGCTGCCAGTAAGCTGTGATAGGCCACTGGCATCCAACGAGCGCGTCATCAAGATGAGATTTTTGTCTTGAGCTTGGCAACTGGGCGGGCTCTTGCGACTGCCGCCAAAAATGTATCACATTTGAGAACGATTCGAAAAAATACTGGCCAATCAAATGCCCCTAATGCGATCTTGGATCCAGCGACGATGTGACGCCCGGCGTGTGGGTTCCTAGCAGGATCAAGTATCGTAGAATGACCAATATTCTTCTTCGTTTATTGTGCTAGATAGAAACGGGGAGCCTTCTTCGATCGTCGGCAGCTTGGACGGTAGGCGTTGCCGTCGTTGTTGCGGTGGCGAGACCGCGAGCTTGCGAGGCTTGGTACGGTCCATGTCGGCCACGGCCGATCGGTACGACTGAAAATTGATCGTCAACGCCGCTTTCTTTGGCAGGCGGCGTGGCGCGACGAGGATGACGGGTGGCGGTTTTGGCTTGGGTGCGTCTACGTGGTGATCTTCAAGCATCGGGATCGGTTCGTCGATCGGCTCGTCTTCAAGCGTACTCGTTGTTTTACTCGGTGGGACGATCAAAAAACCTTCTACGAGCGGTCGTGCTGCGCAGTTGCCATCGACACAGCGCTGGGCAACGCTCGTGACCATGCTCAGAAAGACTGCGAGCTGCTCTCGCCGCTCCAAAAGGGTCCGGGCGGTCCCCGACGTAAAGATGCGTCGGCGTGGAAACCGCAGCGTGATCTCGGGCTGCTGGAGAAAGAGCATGCAAGGCGAGCAGAGCGGTGCGCGAAGCAGCGCATCTCGGAGCGTGCGAAACGCCGAGTAGCGCTTCTGGAGCGTCCACGACGCCGGCGTCGCCCGCATATCGAGGACCTGCACCACGTACTCTGCAAAGGTGCCGAGGCCTTTCGACGTCGACTTGCACACATCGTTGATGACGGCGCGCAAGAGACGATGGTCGGTCATGCACGTTGGTTGGGACATCGGCAAGTGCCCGACGGCAAGCCAAGACCAAGCCACCGCGCATCCCCTGTGTTTGGTAACATGTAACGCGTTGATCGGCGATGTCCGGCTCCATCGCGCCAGTGCGTCCGCTACCACTGTGCTCTGCGTACAGTCGTGTGCACTGACAAGTTGTGGCACAAGGCACCTTGACGGACGAGCTCTTGCCTCTAGTTGGCGTTTGGTTGCAGGAACGTCAGCTCCAGGGCCCGCAACGGGGGTACAGCTGAGGTGCGCAGAGGAATGTGATTCTATTGTCGCCGGCACGCTGCACCCAAGATCGCAGCTCCGGCAGGACATGTATCCGCACCACCCGGGTGTCGCCATCAGAAGGATGTGAACTGCCATGAAGGGTGTCTTGTAGGAGCTCCCTCTAGGATGTCTTCTATTCTTGCTACAATACAGCCAACCTTGCATGCTCGACACGAAGGGACGAGCTTCGCAAGCCAGCGTCCACAAAATACATACAAGACACCGTGTAAATAAGACACAAAACTACAAGCTCGGCGAGGTGTCGTCGGGGTGGCCTTCTTGAATCGTCGCCAGTGTTACCTCCATCGTGGTGCGCGAGCGGAACGGCTTGGTCACGGGCCGCTGCTGCCACAAGCGTGCAATGCGGGTGCGCATCGCTACCTTTGGTGCTTCCACTGGTCGCACGACCAGCTTGGCGCGCGGACGATCTTTTTTCGTGTAACCAAGGACTGGCAATGCGTCAAGGACTGGCAATTCGTCGTTTGCAAAGGACGCAGGCGACTCGGTGAGGAGCGGGATGCTGTCGCGCCGCGGGTGGAGGACGCCTTGGCCCGGCTCTTCATGCGGCATGACGAGGAAGCTGTGGACGAGATCACGCGCCATGCAGGACGCGTCACCGCACACCCGAACGCCGAGCGTCACGACGTCGAGGAAGCGTGCGAGACGCGCGCACCGTTCGTCGAGCGTGCGCTGGGCATTCGAAGAGAAGAGCCGCCGGCGCGGAAACCGCTTGGTGATGGAGTTGTTGGCGACGAGCGATGTACACGAGGTGCAGAGCGGGATGCTACGAAGCGCGTTGCGGAGCTCGCGAAAGTGCGAGTAGCGGCGGCAGAGCACCCACGCGCCGCGGCGATCGATCGCTTGCACCATGTACTCGGCGTAGCCCTTCTCGGCGATGTGCGTCACGTGCGAGATCGACGTCTTGAGTGTATGGAGTACCATCATATCCGCACTTTCTTTTGAAAATGACAGGCATGATGATGGGTTGGCGCGCCGGTTCAGAATGCTCCTTGTCCTCTCATAGGGCCAGATGTCCGCTCGCTTGTGGCGGGCTGGTGTTTGGCGCCAGAGTTGGCAATGCACTGCAACGTACTACAGATTAGTACCTATCAGTATAGTAGTCGGTACGCAAAACCCGAGAGATGACCAGGTACAGTAGTAATAGTAGGGTACTGTACTAGTACAGTGTGTATATGGTCATTTTTCGGGTTTTGCAAGTGATAGAATACCTTGTGAGAAATTGCACTTCAACTAGAAAGGCCATCAAAACCGAATAAACGTAGGCAATGCATAAGACCAAAACGATCTTGGTATGGGGAACGACGTGTCCATGTCCGAGCACGAATGCCATCAACCGGCACCGTGATGTACGCCTGCTTTCCAGATAAAACGGGTCGCTTGGATGGTCTCAAGAGGTCGTGGCCGAAATACCTCTGAAAATACATTCACATGCCTTTGTTTACGCAAGTTATTGATTGATAGAGTATTCACGGAGGACTCATGGTGGACATCAATTTGGGGGCATGGGACTGACCCTGGGACTGACCACACAAGTTGAAGCTCCGTCCGCCACGCACGCTGGTGTACAGTGGGCCGTGGACCCAAGTGCGTTTACCTCGTTTACCCCATTGTTGTCTAGAGACGACGAGCTTGACGCTTGCAATGACGGACGAGGAGGTGGATGATGTCAACGTTGGGTATGGCACATGACTACTATAAACGTTATTAAATTAGGAAGAAATTAGGGGAGGTCGCCATCGACTTCTTCGATCGTGGCGAGGGACGGCTTCATCTTTCGCGGCGCGGTCGGTGGTCGGTACATGGCGAGCACGGCGAGCTCCTGTTTTAGCCGCTTGATGCGCTCGCTCGAGGACCGGTGTGCTTGGCGCTTGACAGCGGTCGAGGATTTGCCCGGGAACGAGTTGCGGGCAGCGCGGTCCTTGCGGTTGAACTCGAGAAGCGACTTGGTCTCCATGTTGGGCAGCGAGTGGCGGTGGTACGTCTCGGGCTCGGGCATGGACATTTGCTTGGCGGTCGACGGCGCGGCCACGGTGGCCTTCTCGGTCGCGGCCTCGTCGAGCTGCATGTCGATAAACGTGTAGCGCATCTCGGGCAGCACAATGAAGTCTTCGAGGAGGCTGCGGCTGACGCATGCCGGGTCGGCGCACCGGCGCACGGCCACTGTCACAATGTCAAGGAAGAGGCCGAGGCCGACCTTGCGCTCGGCGAGGACACGCTCGGAACTCGATGCGAAGAGGTGGCGGCGCGGAAAGCGGTTCGTAATGTAGTTCTCCTGCGTTAGCGACGTGCACGAGTCGCACAGCGTCGCATGGAGGTAGGCTTCGCGCAGCGCCCGGAACTCCGAGTACCGCTTGAAGAGCAGCCACGCCGTCGTCTCGGTGCGCGTGTCGGCGACGCGAACGACGTACTGCGTGTGGGCATGGGCGCCGGCGCCGGCGGGCTTGGAGACGTGCGAGATGGACGTCTTCATGGACGCGAGCACGGACGGGTTCGCCGTGGTCATGACGGTGGTCTGGTCTCCTGCGTCGTTTGGCACGAATTTAGAAATAAGCTGGTCGTCGCCGCTTCTGTTTCAGCAAGTTCAAGCACAGCTGCGTGGGGGGTGCTGTTTCTGAAGATCATTTTAATTCTTGAATCTGGATTCATCTTCATTATTCTATGTTGATTTCAAGGCTACCTATAAAAATGTTATTGGGACGCCCCGGTGCGCGTATTTTCCAGGTAGGGGGCCAGCCAAAAAAGCTTGGTGACAGGCCAGCCAGCAAGCGAGCTTGGCGGTAAAAAACAGATTAAAAATGCATTTCGCCCCCGCCTGGTCGCAAGGCGACCGCGGAAAGACTGTCGGTGTGAGAATCTGCTTCCTACAACCCGAATCACAACCCACTTGCTATAGTAATTGGAATGGCAATCTCTGCAGTAGTGCGACTGGAAAGGTTGGCGAGGAGGAGATGCGCTCGAGGTTTGCGTGAACTGTCGCGTGGTCACCACCACACACATGTGGCACGCCCACGCCTTCATTCGCAGTACGAGCATGCATGTGGCCATGTATTAATAGAGCTGCGCACAGAAGTTCATCCTTGCTTGAGGCTCGGTAGCAGAGCTGCGGCCTCGCATGCGTTTTCACGCCTGAGCAGCCCAAGGGTCCTGGTCCATGGCTTTCGAAGGCTGAGATTGGCGCCATCTGATTCGACGCCGACACCCAGGAGGGTTCTTTAGCACTGCTTGCAGCGCGGTCGGGATGTGGGCAATTGAAGGCTTCTCCCGTGGCTACTACTGCATTGCACCGCAATCGAAAAGGTGGTCTCGGTCTCGGACTTACCCATGACCCATGGCATCCGAGGTACCTGGTATTGAAGATCGAAGCGAGGCTGAATTCTCACATTTCGTGGCGCATCGACTGGCTTCTTTACAAACCGCCACCCGACATTGCACTTATTCTTACTCCCAGTGTCTTAGTCACTCCTAGTATACCTCGTAGTACTAACTTCAACGACAGCCGTTGGACTCGACCAACATGCACACGGCCTCTCGACGCCGCTTCTTTGTCCTGCAGCCGCCACCGATCGCGTCACACCCAGGAAATGCACCTGTCGGATTGGATTTCGAGCGGCCTAAGCTCAAGTCCAACGGGTGCGCGTCACGCAACGGTGTGTGGACAGACATCCAATCAGCATACAGTGTATCGTACAGAATCCCGCTTTATGCCAAGCGTGTCGTAGTCTCTCGGTGGACGTGCACGAGGCGTACGAAATCGAGCCACGCTGCGTCGTGGTTATTAGTTTGCACCGAACAGAGCTCGTCGGAAGTACCTGGAGGTATTAGTTCGCCCTGGTTCTCCGCGTCAAGCGCCTGGCGCATCATCATCAATCTGGAAATCAGATACAGAAGCACACACCGTCGTCGTCGACTTGATTGTCTTGGGGAGCAACACCCGTTCCAGCTCCCGCGCATGGGTATGCTGTAGGATCTAGGGCAGAGAAGACGCATCGGACGATCAAGTTCAATCGATACAGCACCTCTACATGCTGCTGTAGCGCCGACTGCTTCTTCTTCAAGCGCGAGAAGGCCAAGTGCTGGTGCGCCAGCGTCGCCTCGAGCGCCTGGATCCGCTCCAACGACGTACGGACTTCGGTCGCCAAGCTCGCTTTGACTAGGCTTCATGTTTTATACATTGTTGCATCCATGCGAACGAGCGACCTTCGAGGAGAACGTTGACGTGGTCGCGGAGACGGTCGTACTCGTCGCGCCACCGGGCCGAGTCGCGGTCGTACGTGGCATTGGCTTTCCAGAGCTGCTGCTCGATGCTTGCGCACCGGAGCTTCTCGACCTTGACCTGGTACTGCCACTGCGCAATCTTGGCATGCTTGGCTTCCAGCGCGACTTCCTACCCGACGTAGTATATTGTGTTCAAGATGGCCGACACATCAAATGAGTACGCGCTCGTTGTGCTGGATGGCCACGTCCGTCCCGTCCTGGCTCCACTTGAGGAGCGACGACTGCGTCTTCTTGATCTCTTGCTTGATCACGCGCTTGGATTGGACCCACTCGCTCCGCAGCTCGGCCAGCTCCTATTTTGTCGCGTTGGTGACGTGGTGCCGTGCCGCTACTACCGTATGCAATCGGGGCACCAGGCGCTGCCACGACTGAATCTGGGCGGACTTGGCGTCCGCGTCAGCTTGCCACGTCATTACCTGATGATGGCATTTCCATGTTGGCAGCTGTACGATTTCAACGTACGCGAGCGTGCAGGTCCGTGTTCTCCTCCGATACGGAGGCGGCGGTCGTCGATAGGACGTCGATGCGCTCCATTGCGCGCTCGAGCTTGGCCTGAGAATCGGCGCCAACTGCCTTGGCGTTGGCCAGCTCCGCCTCTAATGCGTCGTGGGCGGCGCGGAGCTGCGTGACCTCGGTCGTCTTGGCCGCCACGTCCACGCTGGCTTGAAACAGACTGGTTTCCACCTGCTTGAGCATCGCGGCCGTGGCCTTGTCTTTGGCGAGCGCTGCATCTCGGTCCCACAGCGCCTTTGTCAGTGCTTCTTTGGTGCTACAGGAACAGGGGTCATGTCGGTGATTCTACTACGATTCGCTGGTGCTTAGCGTACGCGGCGAGCTCGGCGAGACGCTTGGCCTCAACGGGGTCGACGACCGGGGCCGCAACTTTTGCGAGCTGTTCGTGGCTCGATACGCGCAGCTGCTCGCGGAGCACATCCACGGTGCGCACGGCAGCGTCAGCAGCTTTCATAGCCGTCGACTCGCTCGTCATGAGCCTAGGACCCAGTGTGCATATCCCTATAGCTTGCTACTTACCGATCGAGGTCCTGCCGCAAGCGCTCGTTCGTGCTCGTGGCTACTCCGAGCTGGCTCTGCAATGACGCAATCGTCAAAATCGCCAACTCCAAGTTGGCGTGAAGATGGTTTTCCGTGGGCTTGTCGACGACCGGACTCTCAAGAAGGTCCTTGCGACAGCCGAGCTGGTCCTTGCTACCAACTGGCGCCTCGGCGAGGGACACGGCGACGCACTGCACGTGTTCAAACACGCTGCGCTCCTTCTCACACGTCAAGCTCGACGCCTAGGTAAGAATGAGGTGCCAATGCGCGCACTCGACGCGCGAACCCGCGACAAGGTGGTGGCCTTGGCGGGCAATGTCTCGCTTCTATATCCAGGGCATGTGCTGGGATAGAATTCACGGAGGACGTACAATTTCTTTGGGATCGCGGGGCTGTTGTCGCCCAGGTAATCGATGACCGCCTCGGCATCGTCGAACCAGTTGATGTCGTCGATATCGGAGGTTGGCGACGTGGATACATTGACACTGGCCGCGCGGCGGTGATGGCTCTACGACAACGACTGTCCTCGTTGCACGTTCGGCAGGACCTCGCACCATATATCCGCGTCCGTTCAAGATACAAAGAGCAATTAACACACAATAACCTTTGTAAGGCTGTTTTGTTTGAATGTTTTTGTCGGGTTGCTAATCATAGCAGTGGGTGGTATCAAGATGATGGCCTGGTAGCACTGTGTGATCGCATGGCGCCTCTGGACGTACTGCTAAGCCGCGAGGTCTTGGCCGCCATCACGGCGTACCAAGACGGCGTCCCGTTGCCGCTGCTATCGATGGCCGCGCACCTCCGCCGCGTCCAGCGCTACCGGGCCCACTCGTATCCGATTCGAACCGCTCTGCCCGCGCCGGCGCACCACGCACTGCCCATCGCCGACGTCGCGCGCCTTCTTTGCTTTCGCCCACTGCTGTGGTCATCGTCGGTCGTGGACCATGCCGCAGCGATCAACGACGTCGCGCTTGTCACGTTTTTGCTCGACCATGGGGTTGTCGTGCTCGAGCTGGGCGCTCGACGAAGCCTGCGAACACGGACACTGCGAGATGTTGCAACTGCTGCACGATCGCGGCGCGCCATGCACCAAGCATGCAATGGACTATGCGGCGACCAACGGCCACCTTGGCGTCGTTCGCTTCCTCCACGAGCAGCGCGACGAAGGCTGCTCCACGTTTGCGATGACGGGGGCCATCATGCACGGCCACTTGGCGGTCGTCGGTTTTCTGCATCACCACCGAACCCGAGGGCTACAACCCGCGGGCGTTCGACTTGGCGGCGGCCCGCGACGACATGGCGACCGTGCGCTTCCTGCACAGGCACCGCCGTGAAGGCTGCACCCGCGACGCACTCACCAGTGCAAGCCGGGCAGGGCACGTAGAGATAGCGGCGTTCCTGCTCCTGCACCGGGGCGAAGAGGAGCGTGAACGAAGCGTTCGCCGCCGCCATCGCGGGCGGCCACTTGACGCTCGTGCACTTCTTTTGGCAGTCGTACGCAGGGCAGCTGCGCAGCCACGTGGCAGCCGGACACGCTTTGGCGACGGCTCTAGGGCACTCGGAGGTCGCTAGCTTCTTGGCCGCCGTGGCGCCGCGGCGGTTCGCCGTGCAAGATCTATGGGACCGTTGTATCCGTCTGTGGACAGCGCGCTTTCTAGACGAAGTGTTGGGCTTGGACATTGTCGCCGTCCTATCGGATTGAAATATGATGAATCCAATCCAAGCTATCCAACGACGTATCCAAGGTCGTGTACAATTTGCCTGTATGGTAGAGTATCCAACAAGCTCGATCGTTACGATAGTAGAGACGAGAAAGAACAAGCGGGGCGCGGGGTTGGTAGCGTGCAAATCCAACGACCAAGTGACTCGACGAGCCGCAACTTGTGCGCTTTCTCGCCGCACTAGAGAGGCGTCATCACACGGTGTTTTGCCGCATCATGTAGCGACCATAGCTGGCGGTCGATATCGACGAGGTGACGACAAGCGTAGGACAAACTGCTGAGCTTGTTTCTGCGTGCATACTGCTACAGGCGCTTGATCCTGGTCGTACCGTTCGCTAATTCACGGAGCTGCTTGGGCCAGTATTCCTTGTGTGTTTGCCGCTTCAAATCCACAACATGCAAGCGTACGACTGACTAGAAGTCGTCTGTACGAATTCCCTGAATGCTTGTTCGCTTTCACCAGATTCCCAGAGAAAAACTGCTTGAATAATTGAAATCATCGCATGGCCAAACGTACCAGCTTTGGTACGAGCTCATGGGTCTCTTGGGCCTCATTCTGTGTGGCCTCGCGATCGCCAGCGCCGTCGACAGCAACGAGACTACCGTGACCGAGGTAGAACTTTCTTTCACCGATATTGGATCTCACATCGAGTAGGACGTGGCGACAATAGCAACACGAGATCGGTGCAATGGACGCTCCAGCGCACTGCTTCCGGCATGGGCAACTAGGGCGGCAGGATCAAGGTCGTCAACCACCTCCCGGCCGTGTGCCCGATGAATGCAGCGACGTGGCTCTCACCCACGGCCGCCGCGATCTTGCCCAAGGCCAGAGCGTGGGCCGTTTGGCGGCTGGTACATGCTCGGTGTCCAAGAGAATAATGTCTACTGCGCGTATGCTGGAACGTGTGCTACTCGGCGGACCAGTTCTTATTGCTTCAGCTTGGCGTCGACGCCAACTGCACTACAACGACTGCCCGTACCCCGCGGGCCAGTCCGACAAGAGCAACGGGCGCCCGAGGGCCGGAAGCGCCACTCGATCAACGGCGCAGAGTCAGAGAGTAGTCACACGATTCCAATTTCGCTCGATAGACGGGTGGCGTCGGTGCTAGAACGCCACGTGACCAATGTTCTACTCTACTAACTTTAGTATAATGTTTATATTGTCGTTAATTGCGTTTCACGAGTTGTCGGACGCCCTTTCTCAGCACACAATTCGCAGCAAGGACACACAAAGGAGAGACGGCGATGACGCCCACGTTGTATCATAGTGCACGACGAACATGCTTTCGTGCCGCAATGTACAGGCGCGCCAGTGATGCCTGCTGGATACCATCGACCTACTTGAACGCCTCGACTGCCAGTACCAGGCTCAACGTCCCACGCTCGCCCTTCGTAAGCCACCCATTATCCCACGCTTCATCACGACCGTACCCGTCGATCCGCGGCAATAAAATGTGCGCTTCGACCCCACGCGTCGCAGAAGTCCTCTCTCGACGCTGCTGTCCAGTGCATGCTTGCGTGTCGTCGATATTCCAAGCGCCCTGTCTATTAGATCACCTCGGTTTACGGACCTTTGCGCGGTGCGTCAAGAGGTAAGACCCACCGAATCCTCCAGGAAGGGGCTCGGTATAGTGACAGCCAATCAACGACGTCGACTGTTGACTCAACGACTTTGCTCTTTGTCGCCGCGTGCAATCAAATCCCAAGACGCTCTGCCATGCGCGCGCCGTTCCTGCACGAGGCGTACCCGGCGCTAAGCCCGCTCTACCCGTTCGCCTTTGAGCGCGACTTTGTACAGTCCATGCCCATGGCCTTTCCGAGCTCACGCTGCTGCGATGGCGTAGGTCTTGAGCTGGCAGCCGGGCTTCTGCGCCGACTCGATGGGCCTTGCCATCGGCCTCTGCGCTGTCTACTGTGTGCTCTGCTACACAGGCCGTCACGTCATGGCCTCGCGCGCCCCGTTCGACCTCAAGACGTACGTCCCTCGGGTACTTCTGGTACCTGTATAAACTCACAGGACTGTAGGGCGCTCGCGGCGTGGAACTTGCTGCTGGCGACCTTTAGCTTCTGCGGTGCCGTGCGCACAGTACCCTTCTTGCTCGACTCGATCTACCAGCGCGGCGCCTATGCGTCCATCTGCTCGGAGGCCACGAACCATTACGGCAACGGCCCCACGGGTCTCTGGGTCGCCCTCTTCATCTTCTCCAAGGTCCTACTGCATGCCTGTCGCACTTGGTCGCTTACCAGGAGTGACGACTAGGTGCCGGAGCTCATCGACACGTTCTTCATCGTCGTGCGCAAGAAGCCGCTCATCTTTCTGCACTGGTACCACCACATCACCGTCTTGATGTTTTGCTGGCACGCGTTCGCCGTTCGCTCGGCGAGGTAATGACTCTCCTCCACGACTTGTCTGCTCATCCTACTGTTGTAGCGGTCTCTACTTTGTCGCGATGAACTACTCGGTGCACGCGATCATGTACTTTTACTACTTCCTCACGGCCCGTGGGTACCGCCCAAGATGGGCGCTGCTCGTGACCGTCGCCCAGCTGAGCCAGGTACACATCGATATGCATGGCTTTGTATCAAGTTGATATATAGATGGTGGTGGGCGTTGCCGTGTGCACGATGAGCGTCCTGTACATTCGCCAAGGCGCGTCGTGCCACGTGGACGAGAGCAACTTGAGCTGGGGCATCCTCATGTACTCGAGCTACTTTGCGCTCTTCCTCAAGTTTTTCATTGAGCGCTACTGCTTCCAAGCCAAGCGCTCGGCCAAGAAGGCCCAATAGATCCCATAGGCTAGTACAGTAGACGCGACCTACGACCGCTTGATGCATACGATCCATTAAAGAATACATATCACTGCATTTGGACACGAAATTGTACTGTTGCAAAAGTAAAAATATCCCTGGCGTGTACTGTGGCCTGGCGACTCGTGATCGACATCTCGTACTACTCTTGTCTGGTCGATGCTTGCGCAGCAATCGTTGATAGGCTTCTCGCATCGATAGACGTCTCTGAAGCTCTACATGATGGGTGCGGCGGGCTTGGACCTCCCGTCACCAAAATCAATGTCCCGATGCGAGATTTAAGCGGTGAGCCAAGTACGACAGCTAACCACAGGCGTCGATGAACTCGAGGACTCGATATGTACGCATGAGATTTACAGTAAACCAGGGTGTGGCGACGCAAAAGGGGCAATAAAGAACTCTTTTATAGCCCCTTGGTCAACGAGAGTCTGGATACCACTGCCCTAACCACCATAGGGGTAGGTACAGGGATCGGCGGCACACTTGGCGTCAGATTCTTGCACGCTACAACGAATGCAAGCAACGTCTACATATATTCGAGCCTTGATGCCGCCTACCCTCGACTCCCACATGGTAGCATGAAGGTCGCTGTGCTGATATTGGCTAGCGCAGTCCTCGATCTGTGGCGATCAACAGTAGGAACGGCATTGGTAGGATTTGACGCTGTGTTTTCTTTTTCTAGCAAGGGCTAACAACTCGTCTTTGCTGACAGTAGAATCGATGCTAGAGTGTGCTGCATGTACATTTTCGCCCTAGTCAATGTGTCGCCAAGCCATACAAAAACCACATATCCTAGCAGTGTTTGCATATGCAGCGCGGGAGTACCGGTAGACACCATACACCAACGTGGTGGTAGTAGCGCCGGCCAAACGGCGGCCCTTTCTCAACGCCCACGAAAGCTGCCCACGAACTACCGGTAAAGCAACGACGACTTGACGCTGCAGGGTGGTACACCCAAGGAAACTCTTGGGTATAGCTCAACATGAACATACTTGACTCAGTACGCAAGGAAGACAGACGCCACGTATAGAATAAGGCCAATCAATGCGTGCCAGGTTATCACTGGAATGGGTTCCTTCGTGTGTTATAATACCCTACTGTGTGGCCAAAATGCACGATCGTCAAACTGGAAGAGCGCCACGTGCTGTTACACACACCCGTGCGCCCCACCGCAGCGCCTCCTCTATTCGGTCGCAGCCGCATGTGAACGAAGCAATCGATGGGTCAGCACTCTGCCCGAGCTTTGAGGCGCTCGATGGGTCTGAAAAGCAAGGTTGCGCTGCAGAGGAGCCGAATCGCTGGCGCCATCGGCTACTGCAAGGCGTTGACCACTTGGCGTTGCTGGCTGTGAGGATCGCTCGACGAATGTTACGGCCGTCGTGTCTACGTCGGCGACGAGATCACCTCGCTTTACAGACAAGCCTTGACTTTTTTCTGTCAGATCTAGCAGTACTTGCTCCATAGTACCTCGGTGGGGTGACAGGCAAATGACGCGGTTGGCTGATCTACGAATGTGGTCCTTTTCCAGCGCCTTCACAATCAAAGAGTGCACCAACGTAGCAGCATGCGCGCGCCGTTCCTGCACGAGGCGTACCCGGCGCTAAGCCCGCTCTACCCGTTCGCCTTTGAGCGCGACTTTGTACCGCAGCTCTCGCACGGATGTAGCGTCTCATGCAAGCGTAGGTGCCGACCTGGCAGCCGGGCTTCTGCGCCGACTCGATGGGCCTTGCCATCGGCCTCTGCGCCGTCTACTGTGTGCTCTGCTACACAGGCCGCCACGTCATGGCCTCGCGCGCCCCGTTCGACCTCAAGACGTACGTCCCTCGGCTACTTCTGGTACATGTCAACACCAAAACTGCAGGGCGCTCGCGGCGTGGAACTTGCTGCTGGCGACCTTTAGCTTCTGCGGTGCCGTGCGCACAGTACCCTTCTTGCTCGACTCGATCTACCAGCGCGGCGCCTATGCGTCCATCTGCTCGGAGGCCACGAACCATTACGGCAACGGCCCCACGGGTCTCTGGGTCGCCCTCTTCATCTTCTCCAAGGTGCTACAACACTCGCACTTGGTCGCTTACCAGGAGTGACGACTAGGTGCCGGAGCTCATCGACACGTTCTTCATCGTCGTGCGCAAGAAGCCGCTCATCTTTCTGCACTGGTACCACCACATCACCGTCTTGATGTTTTGCTGGCACGCGTTCGCCGTTCGCTCGGCGAGGTAATATTGCACAAGTTGTCTGATGCACTCATCCGGATGTTGTAGCGGTCTCTACTTTGTCGCGATGAACTACTCGGTGCACGCGATCATGTACTTTTACTACTTCCTCACGGCCCGTGGGTACCGCCCAAGATGGGCGCTGCTCGTGACCGTCGCCCAGCTGAGCCAGGTACACATCGATATGCATTGGCATTGGTATCAAGTTGATATATAGATGGTTGTTGGCGTTGCCGTATGCACGATGAGCGTCCTGTACATTCGCCAAGGGGCCGTGTGCCATGTCAACCACGACAACCTCAAGTGGGGCATCCTCATGTACTCGAGCTACTTTGCGCTCTTCCTCAAGTTTTTCATTGAGCGCTACTGCTTCCATGCCAAGCGCTCGGCCAAGAAGACCCAATAGATCCCATAGGCTAGTACCACGAAGTATTCCATCGGCATTTTGTCTCGTGCTTGCCTTGCTAGAATAGAGTCGTGGTCTGGTGAGCACGCAAGTACCTGCCACCATCCGCTGTAGCAACAACGACAACGATACCGGCTTGTACAAAGAACCTGCAGCACAAGGCGGCCCACCCAGGGTGCCATGAGCTGCGAACGCAAGCACAAGTTGCATCGATAGACTCCTCCTTCCGTCTTCGCACACACTGCTACCTCCAATACATTGCGTGGGCACGACGGACTCTCGCCAACGACAACGAGGGTCCTCGCAGTGGCATTCTTGTGTTGACGTGAGTGACCACAAGACCCACGCAGAGAACGTAATGTCTCCATGATCCATGTCTACTCGCCGTCAATCGCAAGCGTGTCGAGGTAGGCCATCATCTCCTTGATGAGCTTCTTGTCGGCCTTCTTGCGCTGCGTCGTGAGCACTTGGAGGCGCTTCCACGCCTTGTGGATCTGCACTTGAGTCGGCTTGTCTTTGCGCTCCGCCGCCATCTTGTTGGCGCGGAAAAAGTCGTCTCTGGCATGCTTGAGCTGCATGGTTTGCAAATGGAGCAGTCCTCTATCGCGTCCGTCAGATTGCATCCAATCCAGATAGCACGAAGAGAGAGATGAGATACCGCAGGTACAAGGCGGGCAAGTGGTCGGGCAAGAGCTGGAGACCAAAAGTAAGACACTCGATGGCCTCGTCCACCATGCGCAAATGCGACAGGCTCTTGGCCAAGTTCATGCAGAGGGCGACTTGCAGGACGCTCAGCGCGCTTTGATCGGAGAGCGAGAGGCAGAGACGGCAACGCGAGAGCGCCACGACATCGTCGTCACCCGACGCGTCATAGATGACTTCGACGCGGGTCGGGCCATCGACGTCGCTGACCATGGCCGGCCAGAGTGTTCCATCATCTTGACGCACCTATATCCATACGACGGATGAGGCAGAGCGCTTTGGTCCATCCACGCCACTTCAATGCAAGCGCCAATCGGCAAGGCGGCCGTCGTCGTCGGCGTGGTGAGCGCCTGACGCGCCGTCGCCGCCGCCACCTTGAGCGTCGAGAGACCGAGGCGGTAAAACTGTCGGGCGGCCACATGGTTGCCTAGACACCAATCATGCTAGACAAGGAACAGCGACGACGACGAGGATCGAAGCACGTACCCATGCGAAACCAGCGGTTGCCGGTGGCCTTTAGCGACGTGGCCGTCGCGAGGGCCTCCGTGAGTGTGAGGCCAATCTCTAGCGTCGGCAGTGCCACATGGTTGGCACGTTCGCAGTCGACCGCGATGGCCTCGAGCTCGGCGCGTGCCATCGCCAAAGGAATGGCTTCGTGTTTGGACAAGAGCCAGCGCGCGACGCCGTGGCAGTGCGGGTGAGCGCGCAGTGCCGGTGCCACGATGGACGTCAGCGCATCGAGCACAAGCGGTGCCATCTCCATCCACACACACTTGAGCGGGCTCAGTGCCAAGGCGAGAAAGGCGCTTGCCCATTGACTGTCTCTGTCGCTGCCTGCAAGATCAAGAATTGCGTGCTTGAGAAACAAAGAGAGTCCCATGCTGCGAGGTCATACCAGCGTAGAGCACGGGGCGTGCGGGGTGCAGGACATGCAAGAGATGCGACAGCAGCGCAGTCCACGCAGCGCCAAAGGCCGCGTCGTGCTCTTGATGCCACTCGCGTCCCCAGAGCCGGAGGAGTCCGCTGCTGCAGAGGGCCTTGGCTTCGGCTTTGGTCGAGAGCACGCGCCGGACCAAGTCGAGGATGCCAGTGTTGCCACCAAAGACGTAGTACTGCTTGAGGAGATCGCAAAAGCCATTTGCATCGGCGTCAACGAGCCCGCAAAAGAGTTCGTCTGCGCGCGGCTGCAGGTCTTGGGCCATGGACGCGACGAGCGATGTCAACGTCGCACTCACCTAGAGATGAGCATACCATGGGTATCATCTTCGGCGGCAAAGCACTGGGCGTACCAGAGAGGTGGTCGACAGCGACGCGTGGCGCAGTGCGAACGCCTGCTGCACGAGCTGGACCGGGCAGCCCAGAGCGATGGCACGAGCGGCGCGGCGCCGTGGGCCCAGGCGGCCAAGCACCGCCAGATGGGCAGGTGCAAGTCGTCCTCGACGTCGCCAAGGCTCGCGTGGCACAGCAATGTATCGACGAGCTAGGACATGCGTGAGGCCATGGAAGCGGCTCGCCGTCATGGTACCTTGGCGTCGTGCACGAGGCGTGCGATGCGGTCGTCGGCGGCGTGGTCAGAGAAGAGCGCGAGCGCGTTGCCCGCGTCGTCGGCCTCGTTATCTGGCGCTTGGATGTAGCGCAGGAGCGTGCGCACACCGTCGTCAGTCTCGAGGAGCGCGGCAAACGCGTCAACCTCGTCGTCGCTGTCCATGCTGCCCAACTTCCAACGTGGCATATGCCACATGCAAAAATAGCGTTGAGTAGAATATAGTGTGAATCAAGTTCGTATCAAACTATCAACATTGCTTTCTACCAGCGCGGCATGACGATGACCGAAGGACGCCTGTACATGGTTGACACCAACCATCGCTGTACCAAGGTAATCATCGTCGATTCGCTGCGGCACGCGCTCGAGATAAGGGTGCATCACGTGCGGGTGCTTTGCTGTACGAGCCTCGTCGAGACCAAAAATGAACAAATGAATGGAGACCTTCAGCTATTAATTGCGCATAAACGAGCACTGGTGCTTGTTGCTGGAGGATGGGCGAGGACACGTTGTGCCGGTTGACAACTACATCGGGAGCCGAGTATACGCAAAAGGACTCGATCGTTGCAGACAGGCTAGAATGGTTCATGGAAGGCGGGGCTGCCAAGTGATGAGCTTTAGCCGCAGAGCCTCAACCAGCAGCCAATCGACCAGCGAAGCAGCCTCCAGCGGGGCTACCTCCAATAGGGTTAATAGAAAATCGGGGGTGGGCCACCTATGTGCATGCTACGGCCGATAGGATCCGACGTTTGCAACACCAAGATACATGGAGGCGACGACGGGCCGTCAAGAGCGCTGGCGATACCGGTACAGCTACGTCGATGTCGACTGTCGGGCTTCTGGTATCACACTCCACGTAGTACGCATTATGATTCGTTCCAAATACAATCTTTTACACCAATCCCATCCAACACTTATCCTTACTCGTCCATGCATTGGCTTAAATAAATATATTTATGTGCCAATCGGGATGGTCCGGCGCCTCATTCGAAATCTCATGCTGGTTTGGTCGACGGCGCGGGTCGGCGCCATCTGCGGCGCAGCTGTCCTCGCGGCCTTCCTCGGCGCCAGCGGCCTCTTCGGCCTCGACCTCGACGTCTTCCACGCGCCGCTCTCCAAGGCAGCGCCGCCAAGCAGCGTGCCACCGGCCATGCCGCCTGTCTTTGACCGGCTCGTCTTTGTCGTCGTCGACGCACTCCGCGCCGACATGGTGCTCGGGTCTGCCGCCGTCCAGCACGCCCATGCGACCGAGGAGCTGCGGTCGTACATGCCGTACACGGCGCAGCTCGCTTCGTCACCAGAGAGCATCCCGTACATTGGCCACGCGGCCGTGCCCACAGGTACGACTAATCTATCGCCGCCACGGCCCACGTTACCCGCCTGTAGTGACCATGCCGCGACTCAAGGCGCTCACAACAGGCAAGAAGCCGGCCTTTATCGACGTTTTGCGCAACTTCAACTCGAAAGCGCTCGAGGAAGACAGCCTCCTCGCGCAGCTCGCCGCAGGTACGATGGCACGTCGTCCAGGACACAAGGATGGCATCGTCTTGTTGCCTGCGTAGCGGGCCGACGCATGGTGCTCTACGGCGACGAGACGTGGCTGCAACTGTTTCCGACAGCGTTCCTCCGATCGGATCCGACGTCCGGCTTCTTCGCCCTCGACACGGTCGAAGTCGACACGAACGTGACGCGGCATCTCCACGAGGAGCTCGACCCGACGATGACGTCGCCCAAAAGCAGCGACTGGGACGCTCTCTTTCTGCACTACCTCGGCGTGGACCACATTGGGCATCTCACGGGCCCGCACTCGCCGCTCATGCGCGCCAAGCTCTCGGAAATGGATGCCACCATCGAGTCGATCCATGTGTCGATTCGAGCCCAGGACGTGGCGCGCAACGGATCCACGTTGCTCGTGCTACTCTCCGACCACGGTACGCGGTCTAGATGGTACGATCTGTAGCGATATTACATGGGCGTAGGCATGACCGAGACGGGCAACCACGGCGGCGCGTCCATCGAAGAGTCGTCGGCGCTGCTGCTCTTCGTGCTACCGCCATCCCATCGCGCCGTCCACCACTCGGATCGCTTGACGCGCACGCCACAGGTCGACCTCGTTCCGACGTTGGCGACGCTCCTTGGCGTGCCGATTCCGGTGCACAACACGGGCAAGGTCCTAACGTCCGTCCTGGACGCGGCGGTTCGTGACGACGCACGCGTCATCGCCGCGCTCCAGGCCAACGTGCACCAACTGCGCGCATTAGCCGCACCAAAGCACTCGGCCAAGTTTTGGGCCAGCTTTGCCCACGACTTTGGCTTCGCTCTGGACTGGCACGTCGCAAGCACGAGCATCCCACTGGCGCTGGCGCGCCGCCGCATGGAAGCCGCCTTGTCGTCGCTGCAAGCCATCGTGTTGACGAGCGACGGCAGCGAGTATACCACGGAGCACATGCTTTGTGGCATTCTTGTCGGACTGCTCGGACTCGTGCTGGCTTGCCGCCTGGATGTGCTGCTACTGCGGCGCCCGTCGCGCTACGAGCTGTGCCTTGGCTTCTGGACGCTGCTCCAGCTCATTAGCCTCGGCTCGAGCTCGTCGATCGAGAACGAACACGTGGTGTGGAACGTGCTCTTGGTCTCGTACCTCATGTGGCTCGCCATCGATGTCTTCCTGACAAAGCGTCGTACGTCCTTCTCCAATGGATGATGACGGGACAACCTTTTGTGGTGCTAGGCCGCGGCGTCTGGCTCGCGTGGCTGCTCGTGCCTCTCACTGCCCGACTCCTTCGCAGCCGCAACCAAATCATCAACTTTGGCCGGCTCAACGGCTTTGACGTCGCGGCGGGTGTCAACCGGGACGGCCTCGAGTACGAGCACGACAATGCCGTCTCGATCTTGACGACGCGGTCACTGGTGTACGGTATCATTTCGCTGCCGGCCGAGCGTGTCCTTGCTTCCGCCTACGTTCTGCTGGCCGAGCTCGCGCGATCGACGTCCTCGCCGGTTGCCCTGAAGGCGGCGTGGACCATCGGGATGGTCGCGACCGTGGTCTTTTCAATGACGGCCGTCGACGCAGCAGCCCACACTGTCTATGCGAGCGTCGTGGTCGAGGCTGGCGCTGCGCTCTGGCATCGGACGTCGCCCATGAAGGCCCTCTGGCTCCTCGCCTTTCTTCTGCAGCGGTACGACCTTGAACAACGCTTTTGTTTCCGCATCATCGTCATCATCATCATCATGTGCATAGGGATACCAACCTCATGGCGCTTGCGCTCCTGCATGTGCAGCTCGATGCTGCGACCTGCCTCGTGCAGGCACTGGACGTGCTCCGCGCCTTGCCGCTGGTCGTCTACCTCTCGAAAGCGAGCTTCTTCGCCCTCGGCAACTCGCATCTCATGACGACGATCGACATTTCAAAAGCGTACACGGGCTTGTCGTCGTACTCGCAGGTACAAATGGCGCCTCGTCCGCCAAGTCGACGACGCTAAGATCTTGGCGTAGGTTCTCGTCGGCGGGCTCACGGCCTATATCGTCTTTACGGGCCCGCTCCTCGTGCTGAGCTCGCAGCTCGCGGCCGTGCGCAACGTCCGGAGCCTCATCGCTGGCTACTGGACGCTCGAGCTCGGCAGCTTCACTGTCTACAGGTACGCGCGGCCTGTGTCCAGGCCTGCGATCTCCATTTATTCCGGCGTGCTCTAGTGTCATTGCGCTTCCACCTCTTCATCTGGAGCGTGTTTGCGCCTAAGGTAGCCGGCGCCTCTGTCATTATCCCTGACGTGCGTGGTAGATGCTGTATGCTCTGGCGTGGGTGCTCTTCCTCTTGGTGCCAACGGGTGTGGCGATCGTCTTGCTGTAAACCCGTCGATCACTGTTGAGCCTTTTTTAAAATATGTTCCTTGGATCAAGGGATTTACTCGCAGAAATCTCTAAGCATGGCAGAGACGACACGCTTACGACGTCGTGTCTTCCTTCTTGGCAATGATCTGCTCAATGCCGCACGCGCGGAGCACCGAGATCGAGAGCTGCTTGCCGGCCTCGAAGTCGGCGCGGATCTCGTCACCAAAGCCCTCCGGGATGTTGGGGAGCTTGATGTCTTCGCGGGTCTCACCAGAGTCGTCCATGAGCGAGACGTAGTCCTCGTCCGAGATGTCGAGGAGCGTGTACTCGGCGCGCGAGACGAACGGGACCGAGCAGTTGTGCGTCGACGGCACGATATCTTCGTACTTCTTGTTGGTGAAGATGTCGAGGGCCGTGAAGTTGCACTTGGCGTGGCCGTGCTTGCCCGTCTTCGAGGTCGAGACCGAGACGACCTTGCACGGGTGGCCCTTGATCATGATGAAGCCGCCCTTCTTGACCTGACCGGCTTCGGACGGGTACGTCAAGGAGGCACCGGCATCGGTGGACTCGAAATGGTAGTCTTCGTCGGCCATGGCAATTGAGATTTCAAAAATGATGCAAGTATTTCGCCAAAGCCGCGCTGGCTAGTGCCACGGAACCAGTCATTTCCATCCGCCCTTTTCGGCCAATGGCTCCAGCAGCTGGACCTGCGAAAGTGCATGTTGGCGCTCCGAGGTCGATGGGCGACGCTAAATGCACGCCACCTTAGCCGCCAACGCTCGTGCATGCCACGATTTATCCGCTTTCGTTGGGCACAAGACAAGCTACGGGGTACGCCGAGTGGTCGAACGCATAGCAAGATTCGTCCGAACGATCAATCTCTGGAAAGGGAAAGCGCTGGATGACACGTGATGACAGGACGCGCCGGTACAAGTAGCATAGAATGCGTGCTTGGCTTGCCAGTGCGTTCACGCTGGAATTATTGTATGTAGAAGCATCGGGAGGTTGAGGGAGTTGATGGCAAGGTCCACCCGATGGACATTGTGGCCGGCTCGCGACACGACGTTGCTGTTTGTGAATTTTCTCACATGTTGACGCCTCCAGCTTAGGCTCGCATCATTGGGCGGCTTGTCTCCTGTACGCTAGTATGCCATCCCTTCGTGTACTCCGATCCAAGTGAACGATACCAAGGCGGCGATGGCAGCCAGGCTCGGGCGGCGTCCCTACGGCAGAGCTTGAGCGCGGAACCAGGCCGCATACATTCTCCAAGAATACTCTCAAACTTGATATTTCTACAGTGGCGTGCGAATAGCCTCAGCAATTCGCCGGTGGGCGCGGCGTGGGAGAGGACGCGGCGAGAACGTCCAGGGCTTTACGGAGCTCTAGGCTGCGCGGGCCGTTGGTAACAGACCGTCGCCACCTTCGATGGTCGCGGCTAAGCTCTACGACAGCGCACCCACGTCATCACAGTAGCTAGTATCGACTTCCGTTTATCGATTTATAAAAGCTAATGCACAACGACTGCGTACCAGAGAGATATCCCTTAGCTCCGTTGTTGTCGTCGTTCAGAGGCGCGATCCATAAGAGACTAGCTACTTCTCGACACTCGGATCCAATATACGTGGCGTCGCGTGCGGGAAGATCGCCTTGCAGAAAGCCCCGCAGCGTTTGATTGGGCAGCTTCTGGCTCAATAGAACCGACGCCATCATCATCATCACCCGACTTGGAGTTTCGCAAACACCAATCCGTCATGTTCCTGCGCCTTCGGTCTGCCAGCCGCCGGACGTTTACGACGACCGCGCCCTCGGTACCTTAAGTCCTTGCCACTGCTGCTGCGATTGCCTTTATGCGTTGAGTAGATTCAGACCGCGACCCTTCAACACGGTCCAGGTGGAGTGGTCGGACGGCCACGCCAGTCGCTTCCACGCCATGCACCTCCGCGCGTGGTGCACGTGTCCGCAATGCCAGCACAGCACGGGCCAGCGCCTCGTCAACATTTCCGACATCCCCACCAACCCTGTCATCCAGCGCCTAGCCGGTAGCACGATATCGACGCCTCTATCGGCCTCACGCACACAAATTTAGTCACAACGGACGGCCTCGCGATTGATTGGGACGACCATCACAGTGTCTTTGCGCCAGCGTACGTGCGGTCGCTCTGCCACTCGAACCACGACAAGCCCAACCCGGCCACGCGCCCGACGCCGTCAACGTACAAGATCACACCGTCGTCCTATCTTAGCATTGTTTGATGGCGTAGGACGCCTGTGACGCCGATCGAGCACGACGCCATCTTGAGCGAGGACGGCATGCTGACGCTCCTCGAGACGATCATGACGTCTGGATACGCGCTCGTACGCAACGTGCCGTGCGATGCTGGCGAAGTGCAGCGGTTTGCCGAGCGGATTGCCCCGATCTCGCACTCGTATGCATCGATCGCACTCGCTTCGACCTGAGCCTGTGTCGTAGGTGCCTCTACGGCTCTGTCTTTGACGTGGTCGCCGAGCACGACCCGGTACGCGTCCTCTTCTCCTCCATCCATGCACTGCATCCATAATGATTAGGTCAACATTGCGTACACGGCCGAGCGTCTCAAGCTGCATTTGGACCTCGCGTACTACGAGTCGCCGCCGGGCCTGCAATTTCTGCACGCCCTGCGCTTTGATACGACGGTCGCGGGCGGTATCCTCCATCCTTGGTCGCTGGCGCTGCCACGTCACGAGATTGCCCTTTCTAGGCGAGTCGACGTTTCGCGATACGTTTGACGCAGCGGCGACGCTCAAGGCGCGGCACCCAGAGCACTTTGCCACGCTCACGCGCGTGCCTGCGACGTTCCAGAAGATCCATTTGCACCGCGCGTCGCCCGCCATCATGGAGTACCAGCGGCCGCACATCACGCTCGACCACCACGGCGAGGTACGTGCCTCGCTTAGCAGGCAAGTTGGCGACACGAGCTTAGGTCAACGGCGTCTTTTGGAGCCCGCCGTTCGAGGGCCCGTTGCGCATCGCCCAAGGTGACGTGGAAGCCTACTACGCTGCGTACCGGGCGTTCGAAGCCATCATTGAGCGCGAAAACGTGATCGAATTCAAGCTCGCGCAAGGCGACCTCGTCGTCTTCAACCAACGCCGGTCGCCCTCTTGTCCTCGTGTAAGGAGGCGTCAACTGTCTCTAGGATGCTGCACGGCCGCGAGGCGTTCCAGCCCACGTCCGACGGTGTCCGGCACCTGCAAGGCACGTACGTCAACATTGACGACTACTCGTCCAAGTACGAAGCGCTGCGCTACAAGCTCACGGGCACGCGAGGCGCGCGCCGCCTTGGCAACCAAAACCACCTCTAACGTTGTAGCAGCACTACACTTGTGTCTTAAGCAATCTTTTTGTTGGCCAGCTTGCTCGCGGTTTCCAGCCTGCGCTTCAAGTTGCGCTCGCGTGCCTTCTCCTTCTTCTTCATCGCGAGCAGGTGGTCCTTCATCGCTGCATCGTCGCCAACACGCTTGAACTCGGCCGCGTCTTGGAGCTCCTTGGCTTTCTTCTCGGCCGCCGCCTTCTCGAGCGCGCGGACGTGCTTGGTGTACATGAGCCGCGTGTACTCGCGCACGAGGTTCTTGAGCATCGCGAGGCCGGGGCCGCGGCCCCGCGTCTTGAAGAGCGTATAGACGTCGTCGACGCGCCCGTACGCATACCCGTCAAACGGCTTGAGGTAACTTAGGAGGGCGAGGAACTTGTCGTCGATGGCTTGCCGCGCGGCCGCGTCGTCGTCCGGAGGCGTCGCATCGTACGCTTGCAGCAGCGGAAGGAGGCCAATGATGTGGTTGCACATGGTCGACGCTCGCTCGACGCGGAACCGATCGCTGGGCGGCGGCCCGAGGCGCGCCTTGATTAGCGGCCCGTCGGGTTTTGCCGGCGCCACCACGGTGCGCACGGTCGCTGCCGCCGTCGTTTCGGTTGCGTCGCCGGGCTTGGCCACCGACACGAGCGCCCGCAGGTCGACGTTGTGGTCGCACATGCCGCAGTAGACGGCGCCGTCGTCGTACGTCGGAATCAGCGCCGATAGATCGTCGGGCGTTGGCGGTTTGGGCTTGGCCGCGCGCTTTGGGCGCTTCTCAGGCTTGCGCTTCGTCGACGCGTGGGCCTTGCGCTGGCGAAGACAGTTCCAGTGGTTGGCGTGCGGCCCTCGCGGGTTGCCACAATACCAAACCTTCTCCGTGCGGTGCATGGCGGCCTCGCACGTATGGCACTGCAGAAACGGGTCGGGCGATCCGTCGAGAAAGGTTTGACTCAGCGCTTCGAGAAGACTCTCGGGCACGAGGTCGTGCGCGTGCACCGAGCACGAAGGGTACGTAGCGTGGATCTGGGGCAAATGATCGAGCACGAGCTGGACGGCTTGGAGATGGCTCTTCTGGTACTCCTTGGCGTCGCCAGCCGTCGATGCGCCCGCTTCGGCGACGCGGACCAGCGCCTTGGCGGTCGACTGAAGAAATTTGTCGACGTCTCCATGCGAGGTTCGGAGCGCGTCGAGGCGGGCGAGCGCTTTGGCGTCGTGCACGAGGTCGGACGCGAGTAGCTTGTCGCAGAGGTCGTCCAGAGCAAACTCGCAAGTGGCATGGCGATCGCAGTACGCGTGGTACGCGATCCGGGGCACCTCGTCCATGTCCAGCTGGAGCAGCCCGCCGATGCCGCGTGCGCCGTTGAGCTTGCTATACACCGGTGTACGGTGCTTCTGGATGCGGTTGGCCTCGCCGATGCGCGCGCAGATCGCGTGAAAGTACGCGTTGCAGTGCGTCCAGTGGCACTTGATGTGCCAGCCTTCGCTGCGGCCGCAGAGAACGCACGGCGACTGGCGGCGCTCGGCGAGTGGCTCGTGCACGACCGAGAGTGGCTCCATGCGCCCCATGTCCTCGATGAGCACGTCTGGATCCCACCACACGCAGAGCACGTGGGCCCAGGCTTGTGTGCCCCGGGGTGAGAGCGTTCGGAGCGGCTTCATGGCGCCGCCGTAGCGCTGGCAGAGGTAGCACACCATCGTATTGCTCGGGATCGTCGTGTCCTTGAGCTCGACGCAGCGGTGGCAAAACCAGTCACCGGACGGCACAGAGGCAATGCCGTAGCAGCTTTGGTGCACGGGAATACCGCACCGGTCGCAGAAGACAATCAGATCGTCTTTCTGGCTGTCGCCGCCGTTGCAGATCGAGCACCAGCCCTCGCTGATGCAGAGCGCTTCGTCCGGGACGCACTCGGGCACGAAGACGATCGCGGCGTCCTGTGTCGGCGCACACGTGCTGCTAACGGGCTTTGGCCGGCCCGACTCCTTAGGCGCCACGTCGTCGGCGCCCGGCATCGGCTCGATGGCCGCAGCGACGGGACTCACGGTAACATCCTCTTGGCTGGAAGCGCATTCGTCGACCGACGACTCGATGACGATAATGTCGGGGCTGAGCGCGGGCGGCTCGAGAGCAATGGCGCTTGGTATCGCTGTGGGCGATCGAGACAGTGTGGCAGTATTGCTGGTTGCCGGCGTGGCTTGTCCGAGCGAACTTGGGATAGCGACCGCTTCAAGGACACCAAAGGCGTCCATGGGCTGTCTCGGCGATTGCTTTGTGCGAAGTCGACCAGCTGGAGAGGGCTCTATCGAGCGACTGCCTGTATACGGCAACGCTGTGTCGACGCTGGACGGCGCGGCGCTGGTCGAGGCAACTGCAAGCGATGCCTGCCTGGCGTGGGACCTTGCGCTTGCTGCTGCAGGCGCCGCCGAGGGCAATGGCGGCCGAGCCGCCGCATCCGGAATCGATGCCCCACCGACGACGACGGAGCGCGGCGCCGCAGTCTCGTTGTCGCTCGAGCTGGACGTCGGGTCGCTCATGCTCGCCAGCGCCAGTGCGCAGGAATATCGAGCGCTCGATATCCGGATACTGGATTTGAACGGTTACTCATGCGGATGGCTCGCTTGACGTGGCAGAGGCAACCAACCCACCGTCCTGCAACCTGCAACCACCTCCCCCGTCGAGGCGGGCAACATGCAATGGGACGGTGCAGAGAGGATTTACCACTAAGTTTAGAGCTACAGAGGTGGAAGGACCGTGGCAATGAGTGCCGTGAGATGGAAGAGGTCGATGGCGAGGTCGGGCGGCAGCTGGCCAAGATACCGGCCGGGGCTCTCGTAAAAGACGTCGGTCGCCGCCACCGTGATCGTCGGTGCCGGCCCCATTGACGCTGGCCACGAGAAATACCCATCGGCAATCAGTTCCGGAAGGCGAGCATCGTGTGGCGGCAGCAGTGCTTGGATCGCTTCCGGTACATGGGCCAACGCCTCGGGCGAGAGTGCAGCCGTGCCAATGCTTCGCGCTTGTCGAGGACCAAGCTCGTTGTTGCGGCGGCGAGCGTACACCACGGCGAGTGCGCCAAACTCGCCCGTCTCGACACTGCGCTCGCCGATGCAGAGCATGAGCACGGTCCGGAGTTGGGGCAGATGAAAGTACTCGGCTGCGCGCTGCATCGCGGCGGCAAGGCCCACGTGGTGCTGGTCAACTTGGACGACAAGCCGCGGCACGCAAAGGCCGTTGCCATCGGCCGGCACGAGTCGCGTCGGGGCGAGCTGTGCGTCCGGGATGCGGTGCGTTTGGCGATCGTCGCCGTGCAGCCCGGGGATGATGCAGGTGCCAGCGCCCGCCATCACGATTCTGCCCGTATCGATGGCGTAGTTGCGGATCTGCCCAATGATGTCGGCGACTACGACGTTGTGGACCGTATTGCCCACGACCTTGTCAATGTACACGTCTGCGATGGTCGATGGCGCTTGAAAAGGCCCGCGAAAGACCTCGGAGAAGCAGACAAACTTGAAGTCGTGTCGAAGCAAGCTCTGGAGCCATGCCTGGAGCGGGATCGCAGTGCCAATGAGGAGAGGGCCGAGTGTGCAGTCGTCGGGGCGCTCGCGGAAGATGTCGACTGCCTTCTCGATCCTTCGCGACGTGAGTCGACCCTGCATGACGTGGAAGGGTGTCACCATGCTTTCCCTTGGTGTCTCGACTTGCGATACTAAAATGGGTCTCTCGAAAGTGGGGCATGCGGCGCCGTGCCTTCGAAGAAGAGCAAGAAAACGCAGCCGTCCTTGTAGCAAGGCGATACAACCCTCGTCCCACGGCTCGCACACGAACCAACGCCCACGCATGGGACGGGGCTCGTCCGCTTGCATGCAATCAATCCACTGTCTGCGCCAGAGTTGCAAGAAGACGACGGACTGGAAGCGCAGAAGAAGGCCCGCATGGAGCCGCCAACGACGCCGCCCAAGACGTCGTTGCATCGGACTATGCTTCGACACACCTCTCGACGATGCAGCGGCGCACCCACGAGAGCCAAGCGACAGCCAATGCAGACGATGCGGGAGTGATTCGGTCACGGCGCTTGCCCTTCGTCTTTGGATCTGTCGGGTCACACTTGCAGCAATGGAGCGCCAGATTGTTGAGCTCTCGGTCTCTGGATTGCATCCGGAAAACGGTACTTTCTACTGATGGAGGCCACGGATGCAGGCTTCCTTTGGCAATCATCCTCGCGCCTCGGTGCACGACCATGGAGCCATCAAGTCGCAGCATGAGGGCGCCTTATTATAACTCTATCGGTTAGTTGTGTCGTCTGGTGAGAGACGCTATTGAAGGCAGTCAAATCGACTGGATGGAATGGCAGAAGAGGCGTGTTCTGAGGTCCTTGCGTGGCCTCACGACGATTACGCCACGTAGCAGCACCACGAATAGCAACGCAAAGCGCTCATGCCAACACACAGATCTAGTTCAAAGGCAGTGTGACGAGCTCTCGACTTGTTTACTCAAAGTCGCTCTCCGAGTCGTCGTCGTCGGCCGAGACGAGACCAACGCCCAGCTCCACGTCGCGCGCCGAGCTCGCGTTCAAGTCAAAGCAACCGTCGCATTGACCGCGGAAGTTGCCCTTGGCGTACGAGTAGGCCATCTTGGCCTGCGGGTTGGAGGTGGCGGGCGCCCAGAGGATAAAGTAGAGCTTCGACGTCTTGCGCCCATCAGGCAGCGTCGCCTCGTGGTCGTAGATGACATAGCGGCAGTCTGCATGCGGCAGTGCTACGCAGAGGTCCGCGGCCGTCGCAGCCGGCGGCGCCGACTTGTCGACCTCGATCGACGCGCCGTCGATGCGGAAGAAGACGTAGCGGAACTGGCGCTTCATCTTGACGGCGCGGAAGGCCTCCATGGCCGCGGCCGACGGCGTGATGGGCCCCGTGGCGGCGCCGTCGGCGTGGATGTACTGCGGCACGCCCGCGGTCTTGAGGTGGTTCTCCTGCGCCGACATCTGCGTTCTGAGCCGCCCACGTTCTTATGCCACAAAACGATCCTCCATAATCCCGTAAATATCATGTTTGTACGGTTCAAACGATAGAAATAGCGGAATTTTCACGCCGGCCGTCACATGACGTGGCAGATTACTATTGCAGATTATTCTTGCTCTTGTGGATGGTACAGGAGACCAATCTACTGCCTGCTGCTTTCCTACGACCATGCTATGCTTCTTCGTTCATGGAGCCTCGAGGTATTCCATCCCGACCCCGTGCCCGATCCGGAAACGAGCCAAGCATGAGCAGACTACGGTCGTTGACATGGAGACGAGGAGCGTGGATCTACTACGCGCGTGCACTGCAGTCCGAGTACGAGGACGCACTTGCAGTCACGGGCATCTGGCTGCCGTGGAAGGCCGAGACGCACGCTTCAACGTACGTCTTCATCTCCTCCGTGAGCACGGGCGACGGTGGCGCCGCCGCATTTGCAAGCATGCGGCGCTGCAGCTTGGACGGGCGCTGGACGCGGGGCAAAAAGAGGGGCATCTGCAGGAGCGATTCGATCGAGAGGTCGTGGCGCTGGTCCTGGAAGATCGCATCCAGCACATCTTGTACCTAATTCCGTTCGATACGTGAGGACAATGAGATCGTAGGGCCGCCTACGCGGTCGGACGGGCGGTGGAGGTTGGCGTAAATGGGCTGGCCGTCGTCGTCGAGCCGATTTCGCGAGAGCTCGACGCCAAACGCCATCTCAAAGAGCACGTGCCCAAAGAGCATGACCGGCAGCATCTTGTCATCGCTGTCGCTGACCGGGCTCTGGAGCCGCCCGGCTTGGAAGAGCAACGCTTCGTAGCCGCCGACGCGCACTTGCTCGTACTCCAGGAGGATGTTGCCCGTGTGCAGGTGGTAGCTCGGAAGACCGAGCGCCTGCAGCTGCTGCATGCCGAGGAGGATGTCGCGGCCCATGCGCGCAATCGCCGATGGCGCGAGCGGCCGGCCGACGCCGTAGCGCTTGAATTTCTTATGGTACGGCATCTACGACCTCCACGCATGAGGGCCATCGTGCGACGTCGCACCGAGAGCAGCATGGTCTGGCTGCGGTGCACGATGTAGTCCTTGAGCGAGCCTTGGTTCATCCACGGCGAAATCGCAGCCATGCGCGGCGTCTCGTGGTCGAGGTACGCGACGTCGAGGACCGGCACGACCTGCGGGCAGAGCGCGATCTGCGTCATGAGCGCCCGGAGCAGCGCGAGCGTCGCCGCGTCCGTCGGCAGCGACGGGTACATGCTCAGAAGGTACTGCTTTCGGAACGAGCTCATGTACGAGCGGTGGTGGAACGAGTTGCCGCCCGAGGACGCTTGGCCGAGGAGGTACAGCCGCTTGGCGCGGTTGCGGCCCATGTAGAGCGCAGGCTTGTCAAGCCACTCAAAGGTCCTAGCCGCTGCTTGAGAGCAACCGCACTACTAGCACTAGCTTACGTTGAAGCTTCGCAGTACTCTTTGCAAAAGGCCTTTTCGCGCGTTGCGATCCCGTACGCCGACTCGCTCTCGTCCTATGTAATCCTGCATGAGCGCTATGACCTTGGCGCAGGAATCCACTACGTACGAGGTCTTCGTTGAGCCGCTCTTCCGGGATCGGCGAGAGGTACGATTGCGCGACGTCGGGCATGAGCGCGGGCCAGTCCATGTCGGCGCGGGCGAGCAAGTGGCTCGACTCGTACCGATTGATGGGCTTGGGCCGGCGCTTGCAGCGGCGGTAGAGCTCATAGAGACCGTAGGCGGCGAGACACGCGGCGAGACCGACGGCGACGCCTGCGAGCAGGTGCAGCCACGGGTGGTCCGACGCTTCGATCCCGAGCATCGCCATTCTAACGACGACCAAATGGTGATAGACACGCCCCATTAGACAGGCGGCGGCAATTTGTTCGGATAATTTTTTACCTGCGGTAGCGGATGATAGGCAGCAAGAGGAACGAGTGGACGACTTGGTCGTGGCGCCAAAACGAAGAGCGCAACACGGGCCATTGTTCTAGTACCCTGCGCCGAGGCAGCCCCGTTGCAGCCTTGCGCCGCACGATGGAGTGGTCACGACGCGTATCCGGACCGTACGCTGTTTGTTACAGTGTATTTTTCTGGTTTCTGTGTCCTCTGCGATAGCGCCATTAATAGTGGTTGTCAATGATGGCAGACAGGTATTGCGGTCATGGATTCCCTTGCGCCACCAACTGTTCAACCTCGTCGGCGGTTCTAGCTTTCAGCAGTCTCTTGCCGGTGACGATATGCCGCCAACAGCCTCCGTGGAGGTGACAAGCAGCGTCACGACGTGTCATTTGCATCATTGGGTCAAGCAATGTAAGGCGGTGGTCGTCCAAACATGACGGGGCTTGTATGACGAGTTCTGGTGTCTTTCAGGAGCCCAAGGATCGCCAACTTGCTTTGCCAATGACATATGAAGTGAACAAGGCAGCTTACTCGTCCGCACTATCGTCCTCACTCTCGGCGCCCATCGGGTCATCGTCATCGTCGTCATCATCGTCGTCGTCGTCGTCGTCATCATCGGAGAGGAGCGCTTCGTCGAGCGCACTCTTGCGCTTCGGAAGGAGGTTCATGGTCTCGAGCTGGAAGCGGTCGACCAAGCGGGGCAGCGCAATGTTGCAAAAGTACTCTTCGCGCAGGAGGAGGTCCGCGACTTCGTCCATGTGCAGCACGTCCCAGCCCATCGTCTTGCGGAAGCGCACCTTGCGGTAGTCGGAGAGGAGGTTCTCGAGCACGGGGTAGATCTCGACGGGCTTGCCCGTGAGGCGCAAGTACATGGCGCCGAGCGCCGTGACGTACTTGTAGTCGCCATTCTCAATGAACGTCATGACGACGTCCATGTCGGGCTGCATCTGCAGCATCTTGAGGAGCAAGCACAGGAACGGCGACGGCTGCTGGTTGCCGCCAAAATGACCCGCAATGTAGCTGAGCTCGATCGCCTTCTCGACAAGCGTCTCTTCCGTGAGGCCAAAGCAATGCTCTACAAAGACGACGACGATGACGATAGCATGCATGCTGGCACGCGTACCCTTCCAGTACATGCAGTCGTAGATGCGATTCCGGAGGATCTTCTCCTAGAAGAAGCAGACGCATGGAGATACGTGCGAGGTAGACGCAAGCAAGCAGCCTTACCACGAGATGCTGCGGGTTCACGCCATGCACATGCGTCACGCCCACGTCGGTCGCGTTCATATTGGCCCGTCGGTTTTAGGCCAATCGCGGCCGGCCAAGGATCTTCCATCGCTGTGATTGGTTCAAAATCCAAGGATTTGCCAACGGAGATCATCATGACCACTGCACCGGCTTCTCCGGCTCCTCGCCCAACACGAGTTCACCTCGTCCCGCGGATCGCGCTCCTGCCTCCGCCTGCCTAAATCAAGTTCCTCAACCAAGTACACACAACGAAGAAAGTCCGACAATTTTATTTAGCATAGTTTTATCTATTGCAATAGACGACCCACTTCAACAACAACCACTGCTGCACCGCGTCTTCCCAAAGCTCTCACAGTACGTAGCCCTTGTATCTGTCAGCACACAAGGCTCTGGCATAAGAATCTGGTTTTTCTGCAAGACGAGCTCTGGACAAGCGCGCCTTTGCATGCACCCCCAACAACAAACGGTAGGTATGCGTCGCCATCGAAGAAGAAGGTAGTCGCGCATGCACATGCACGAGCAGTTGCCGGACGAGCAAAACGACTTGGGCTGCAGAGAAAAGACGCGTCGCTGGAACAACGCGCCACGTCGGTTGGACATCGAAGAAGAAGACGACGACTGTCGGCCTGTCGACGCCATGGCACTGGCGAAATGGATAGAATCGTGCTCACGGACGAGTTCTCGCACTACCGAGAGGTGACGGTCACCATCGAGACGCGCGGACCGCGCTGGCGCCGCCGGTTTGCCAAGCGGCAGCAGCGGAAATACGACGCCCAAGTATCGACGCCTGGCCTCCTGCACGCGATCCACGAATTTATAGTCGAGCACGCGCCGAGCGAGCCGCTCCTCACCGCAACCATGGCGCGCTGGCAGCGCGATGTGCGCGCGCGGGTCGGCGACCTCGTGCTGCGGCCACGTCGGTCGTTTTTCCATCGTTGATGTTTTCCATCGATCTATCAACTTGATACATAGATACCATTTTGTCATTCTGAGTGGAGGAGGTGCCACGTTGAACAAGAGACCAAGGTGTGTCGTCCATTCATATTACATCCACAATCGTCTTGACTTATACTATCGTAGTATTCGCGTATACAACTCTTGGAGCCCGATCCTGCACCACAGTGTCTAAATAAGATTGCGGTAGCCGTCTTCCATCGTGCTCTTGGCGTGCGTCGACGCGAGCGCGTGCTTGACAGCGACGAACGCGACCATGCCAAGCCCAAACGACACCAAGACCATCGCCGCGATCGACGACGTCGACGTGGCGTCCAAGAGGTTGGTCTGGAGCAAAATCTCCTGCATGATGACCGTGTGTCGGAGCCCGTCCGCGTCCGCAAACATGCGGTAGATCGACGGTTGCTGGCACAAGATGAAGCCGCAGAGAATGGACGATGCCCGGCCGAGCGTCTTGCCGAGCACGCTCGTGTACGCGTTCTCGTTCTCGTAGCAGTTGACGACCGCGCGCATGCAGTCGCACTTGAGGCTCACGATGCGGTAGAGGCACGCGATCGAGTAGCCCGGGTTGAAGTCGAAGAAGCCATACAAGGTCGTGAGCTTGGTGCCGTCCGAGTCTTCGTTCTGGTACAAGTCCGCAATCGACTTGTCTTGGTCGAGCTGGAAGTTGTAGAACGGGCACTGCGTGTAGTCGAAGAGCTCGCGCGTGAGGTGGTTGGCATACTGGCGCGCGTTGCAGTACTCGACGTTGCCGTGGTGGTAGCGCTTCCCGTCACCGGCCTTGAAGTCGATCCATTGGTACCACTCGGAGCAGAACCAGTCAATCGGGTCCCACACCCAATTAACCGCGAGCTTGTTGACGGTTTTGATGTCGCGCGTGCCGAGCTCGCCAGAGAAGGCGCACTGTCTGGTCGCCGGCTCGAAGCGCGGGAGCCCCGAGACCTTGAAGAGGTTGAGGCTCGCGCCGCTCACCTTGAGCATCGTGAGTTCGAGGTACCGGTTCTTCTTGTTGTTCCAGAGCAGCTTGACCTTGTCGCACGTGCCCTTCTCGCTCGGCTTGGTCACGACAATGTCGGTGAGGTAGTCATACTCGTCGTCGGAGTCGACGCTCGCGCCCGCTTCGTCGACGATGCGCGTCTTCTCGACGACGCACACGCTGCCGTCGTAGCACACGCCGACGGGGTTGGGCTTGAGCGTCACGTCGCAGTTGGTGCGCTTCGTGCACGCGCCATTCGGCACTTGCTTGGCGTAGTCCGGGTGGATGATCTGCTGACCGAGGTTGCCCTTCAGAGTCGAGAGGTAGTAGAAAAGCCCCGCGTCGCAGTAGAGCTTGAGGCCGCCCGTGCCGTCGGCGCCGTCGAGGTAGTTGGCCTCGAACGCCGTCAACTTCGGGTTCGTGCCCTTGTCCTGCGCGCAGTAGTCGAGGTACTTGTCCGCGCGCACGTTGACCGGAATGCCGTTGCCGTTGAGCTTGGTCGTGGCCGAGAACGACTTGTCCGCGGGCTCGTAAAAGGCAAAGACCTCGACCGTCACTTGCTCCCACGGCACAAAGTACTCGTTCGGGAGGCAGCACGAGTAGTCGACGCGCGTCCGGTTGCCAATCATATCAAAGTCCGAGGCACCTGCGAGGTACTTCTTGGTTTGCTCGAGGTGGTTGGCGTAGACGTCGTAAATGAGTCCGTACGTCGACTTGTAGTAGCCGACCGTGTTGAGCACTTCGGTGGCCACGCACGACGTCGCGCACGCCGTGTAGCGACCGAGCGTCCCGAAGGCGGTCCACGCGTCCTTGCTCGCATCGGCGTACGACGTCGTCTTGGTGCATGTGCTGACGCAATTCTTGAAGCTGCCGAGAATGCTCGAAAAGTGCGACGGGTCGATGCTCTTGAAGGGCGGCGCGAACGTGATCGGGCGCTGCTTGATGCCACGGCTGGCGACCGACGAGGTCGTCGCCGCCGCCAGCGCGAGGTACTGGATGTTGACCATGCTGGCAGTCGCAGTCAAATGCGAAAATGATAAGATCTGTGGTCGCGACGCCTGAAGATCGCTTGTCGCGCTGCAGGAAGATCGCGAAAAGTTTGGGCACCAATCAGTATTCCGCACAAACTTTAGGAGCCAATCACCGCGCGCCAAGAAAGCGCCGGATACGAGCTCGAAATGGCTCGCTCGAAATACTTCGCGGTCATCATCGAGCTCTTGCACACGTTCCAAGGACTCTGCGTCGTCTTTGAAACCGGCAAGACAGGGTGCGTCCTTCACCTCTTGAGATGGAAACCATGATAGAACTATATGTGTCGGCTTGAGAGGTAGCAGTGCGATGCAAGATCAGTTGAATTCTATAATCCAATGCTGCTACAGTTATTTTCGGACTTGAGTAAAAGCAAATTCTGCTATGGAATAGATCCACCTTTGGATCATACGAAGTGGAACGAGTTCCACGAGCTACGGTGCTAATACCGGTAGTACGCGGAAGGCAAGGGACTTGGCGAACATCGACTGAGTGCGATCTTGGCAGCGCTTCGAAATGGAACCCCGCTTCGAACTACGAAGTCGGGCATACAAAACAATGCATTTCTCAACTTCGACGGATCCAGCTTCGAGGACCGTCAAACTTTCGCGACCAATCACCTGGCGCGATCGCAAAAAAACGAGCCAATCACAGAGCGCGGCTCTCGCCGAAGATCGCCGCGGCTAGCATGGCGAGCGTCGTTCGCAAGTGGCATTTCCGAATACGCGGCCAAGGATGAAGACGGTCTTCCTCGCGGCAGTCCTCGCGGCGCCGATGATCGCGGCCAAGAGCATGGAGGCCGACCGATCCAGCGTGTACGCCTACGGCGACGACAACACGAAGAGCGGGATCCGCGGCTTCGCTGACGACGACGACGCCTACGCCACGGAAGGCTACGTGTACGGCTACACACAAGGCTATGTGCACGAGCACGACAAGCACCTGGCACCAGGCCCGCGCGGCCACAAGGGCAAGCCTGGCAAGAGCGGCAAGAAGGGCGACCGTGGCCAGCGCGGGCCCCAAGGAGCCAAGGGCGACAAGGGCGACCGTGGCTATACGGGCCCGAAGGGCAACAAAGGCGACCGCGGAAAAGACGGCAAGCGCGGCGACGAAGGCCCGAAGGGCAACCAGGGCCCGCAAGGCAACCAGGGTCCCGCCGGTCCTAAGGGTGATGCCGGCGATCACGGTCAATATTACAGCAACGGCAACCTCGTCAACACGCTCGGTGACACGCTCGGTGACACGGTTGGCACGCTCGGTGACACGGTCGACACGGTAGTTGACACGGTCGTTGACACGGTTGACACGGTCCTCGACACAGTCGGTGGCACGATCACCACAGTCGGTGGCACGGTCAACACGGTCGGTGGCATTGTAAATACGGTCGGCTACAAGGTCGGTGGCACTGTCGGCACGATTGGTGGCACTGTCGGCACGATTGGTGGCATTGTCGACACGGTCGGTGGCACTGTCGGCACAGTTGTTGACACGGTCGGTGGCACTGTCGGCACAGTCGTTGACACGGTTGGTGGCACGGTCGGTGGCACGGTCGGCGGCACTGTCGACACGGTCGTCGACACGGTCGGTGGCACTGTCGGCACGATCAGTGGCACGATTGGTGGCCTTTTCGGGACTAGCACACTGCTCGGAGTCAACGGTGGTCATCTCCTCCTTGAGAACGAGTCGGAAGGCTATGGCCGCGGTAACCGTCGTGACGACGCCTCTGACGAAGGCACAAATGGCGTAATCCGAAACTTCGTCGACGACGACGACGCCTACGCCACGGAAGGCCTTCTCCACGGTTATGTCCAGGGCTATGTGCACGAGCACGACAAGCATCGCGCACCAGGCCCGCGCGGAAAGAAGGGCGAGCAAGGCAAGAAGGGCAAGAAGGGCGACCGTGGCCAGCGCGGACCCCAAGGAGTCAAGGGCGACAAGGGTGACCATGGCTACAAGGGCCCGAAGGGCGACAAAGGCAACAGCGGAAAAGACGGCAAGCGCGGCGACAAAGGCCCAACGGGCAACCAGGGCCCGGAAGGCGAGCAGGGTCCCGCCGGCCCTAAGGGCGATGCTGGCGGTCACCTCGGAGGTCATTACTACAGCAACGGCAACCTTGTCGACACAGTTGTTGACACGGTCGGTGGCACGGTCGGTGGCACTGTCGGCACGATTGGTGGCACTGTCGGCACAGTCGTTGACACGGTCGGTGGCACGGTCGGCACAGTCGTCGACACGGTCGGTGGCACGGTCGGCACAGTCGTCGACACGGTCGGTGGCACGGTCGGCGGCACTGTTGACACGGTCGTCGACACGGTCGGTGGCACTGTGGGTACAGTCGTTGACACGGTCGGTGGCACGGTCGGCGGCACTGTTGACACGGTCGTTGACACGGTCGGTGGCACGGTCGGCGGCACTGTTGACACGGTCGTTGACACGGTCGGTGGCACGGTCGACGCGATCAGTGGCACGATTGGTGGCCTTTTCAAGATGAGCACACTGCTGGGTGTCAACGGTGGTCATCTCTTTCTCGAGAACGAGTCGGAAGGATATGGCCGCGGTAACCGTCGTGACGACGCCTCTGACGAAGGCACAAATGGCGTAATCCGCAACGTTGTCGACGACGCCTACGTCACGGAAGGCAATGTCCATGGTTACGTTCAAGGCTATGTGCACGAGCACGACAAGCACCTCACCCCAGGCCCGCGCGGCAAGAAGGGCAAACCTGGCAAGAACGGCAAGAAGGGCGACCGTGGCCAGCGCGGACCCCAAGGAGCCAAGGGCGACAAGGGTGGTCGTGGCGTCAAGGGCCCGAAGGGCGACAAGGGTGACGACGGAAAAGACGGCAAGCGCGGCGCCGAAGGCCCGAAGGGCAACCAGGGCCCGAAAGGCAACCAGGGTGCCGCCGGTCCCAAGGGCGAGGCTGGCGAACCGAAATACGCCAGCCAATACGACGAACCCGTGGGTGGCTACGGCGACCAATATGAAGACGACATTGACGACTACGAGGTCGACACGTACGACAACGAGGACGACACGTACGGCGACGAGGCTGAGACTTACGACGACGAGGCCGACACGTACGACAACGACGACGACGTCGAAGCGGATTCCGGCGATGATTACTATGGCCGCCTCTTCTTGGAGTCGGCCAAGGGCGCGCCGCCGAAGCGCAACCCGCAAGGCTACAAGCCGCGCGTCCGCGCCACGCCGGCGCCGCCGTTGGCCAAAGGCGAGAAGGAGTTCAACCAGTTCTGGAGCGCGGCCAAGTTCTGCGACGCGGAGCTCGCGCTGACCGAGTGCCTCATCCAGTGCAACGCGATCACGGACTTTGCGACGTCGAGCCGCGTCGCCAAGTGCATCCAGCGGTTCTCCAACACGCTGTGCCCGACGCTGCCGGCCGACGGCTGCAGCACCGGTCGCGTCACGCTCTCGCCGCAAAGCTGCTCGAGCGATGCGCTTGTCGCGGCCATGTACACGATCGGCGAGATCCAAAAGACGGTGATCGGCGACGAGGCGGCGCCGGTCGACCTCTACAAGGCCGACAACCCGGACTCGTTCTCGGCCATCAAGCTCGCGGTCACGATGCAGGCGCTCGTCAACTACGGCAACTGCGTCGGCGGCTCGCTCTTGAACTACGCCGACACGTGCAACGCCAAGAAGTTCTTCAAGAGCAACACCAACGCGTGCGTCAACGACATTCTCGCGACGTGCAACGGCAAGGCCACGAACGAAGCGACGACGCACGACCCGGTCCGGCTCGGTGACATCCTCACGTCGCCCCAGCTGGTGCTCACGTCGCCCCAGCCGGTGCTGACTGATGTCTCCAGCATCCTCTTGAGCCAAGGCAACGACGAACGCGCGGCAGCTTACAACTACGTCCGCGAGCACCACACGGAAGACGCCAAGGAAGTCGAGAAGCTCGGCGCGCTCATTCAAAGCGCCGGCGCGGTCGAGTACCGCAAGGTCGACGTGACGATCACCGAGCACAAGACGAGCGAGAACGAAGCCGGCATCACCGTGTGCCCCAACAGCTACACGCCGCTCAACTACCGCCTTCCGTTCGCCAAGGCGTTCACGCCGGCCATGTTCAGCACCGCCGGCGGCATCCCGGCCTCGTTCGTGCCGTACGACGTGCCCGGCTTCCCGCTCACCGACGTCGCCTTTCACTTTCCCGCGCAGTCGTACGACGCCACGACGTCGTCGTGGAAGCCGGCGGTGTACGAGAAAGGCTCGGCTAACCAGTTTCCCGAAGGCACGCCGCTCGACCCGCTCACGCCCAAGGGCGGCATCCGCGACACGTGCGAGAAGTTCCACTTCCTCTCGATGCTCGCGTGGTTTGCGGGCGAAGACACGGGCGACTACTGCTTTACGATCGACGGCTACACGGCCGAGTTTGTCGAGTCGGGCGAAGTGCACCCGCTGAGCTGGGACGAGGTTCAAGTCGCCAACATCTGCCCGGACACTCAGGTCCTGACCACTCGCCAGACCGCAATCACTGCGAGCGTCACCGTGCTCAACGCAGCGGCGCCGGAGCTTATCAACGGACTCTCGACCACGCTGGCGCTCGACCAAGCCGCGCTCCTCGGCGCGGCGGTTGCGACCCCTGGCTGCGCCTCGTGCTACAACGTCAAGTGGCGCGACCCGGCCTACTGCCCGCGCCACATCGCTCGCTTCGGCATGCAATTGCGCTGCTGCAAGTCGTTTGCCAACACGATGGACGCCCGGATTGCCAAGACGCCGACCAAGAAGCGCGTGCCGTGCGGGTCGTACTCGGCCGAGTGGGACGGTGTCTGCACGGCCGAGGACGACCTCGAGTTCACGCACACAGTGTACTCCAAGGTCGGCAAGGGCGAGCTCCAGCCGACGACGTCGGCCTACTACACCAACGCGGACGGCGTCTTCAACAAGGCGATCCACCTCTTTGCGATTTTCCAAGGCGCGCTCCGAGAACCTCTCGGTCACGCAGCAAAAGCTCTTCCTCCAAGTGCTCGCGTTCTTCAACTGGAACAACGACTGCAGCGTCAAGGCGACGCTGACGCTCGACCGACCGGTGCGCACCGCGTACGTCAAGAAGACTGTCGCGGACGACAAGGCGATTTGCGCCGACAAGCCCGAGCACACGTACATCACCGGCAACGCGTGGTGCGACGCGGCCAACTCGCTGCTCCAGACGACCGTCGACTGGACGACGCTCCTCGGCCTCGAGCCCGAGGACGGCAAGTGCTACGCGCCCACGTGCCTCCTCTCGCGCTACGTGACGTGCTCGGAAGCCCCGGAGCCGGAGCCCAAGAAGAAGGGGTACTATGTGCCCCACGCCCGCGAGTACAACGCGCCAACGAGCTACGACCGCAGCCTCTTGGCCGTGCCGTCGGCCGCGTCCGTGTACACGCTCAGCGCCATGGGCTTCATGGCGGGCATCGCCGCCGTCGTCGTTGGCCAAGTCGTCCTCGTCACGCGCCATGACGAGAGCGCCGGATCGCCGTACCACCAGCAGATCTTGTAAGACACACGTCGCGATGTGTCTTCCACCCTAGTACTTGCGTCATGATTAAATGTGTTTCTCAATAAACTTTCATTTTGTTTCTCTATCAACTCTCATTTGGATTCTCCATCACCACCTTTGATCTGGATTCTCCATCATTAACTTTGATGTTGATTCTCAAACTTTGATTTGGATTCTCAATCAACTCTCATTTTGTCGAGCGCGACCGTGTATTACATGATTGTCCTCTCATTTAACGTCGTCCTTGGCCATTGCACAGACGCCATGAGAAGCGAGAGGAGCGTTCGTGGGAGCTGCTGGATGGCATGCCACCTGCGTGAGCTTGTTGGAGGAGCGATGGCGTCAACGTTAAGAACGTCAAGATCCGTGGCAAGAAAGTGTAAAGATTCCGTCGGAACGGATGGCGATCGTCGACGTGGTCGTGGTCGGTGGCGGCGTCGTGGGCACCGCCATCTTCCGCGAGCTTTGCCTTGGCGGGTACGACGTCGTTTTGCTCGAGAAGAATGCGTTCTTGGCGCAAGGCGCGAGCAGCGGCAACTCGGGCATCGCGTGCACGGGCTACGACGCGCCGGTCGGTTCGATCGAGGTAGACACCCGTGCTTTTGCACATCGTCGCTGACGCACCGGTAGCAAGCGTGCATTCGGCGAGGCATCCAGCGCAATGCGACGGTCCACGCAGAGCTCGGTCTGCCGTCCAACCCCTGTGGCAGCCTCGTGGTGGCATGGACGCCCGACGAGCTCGCCAAGCTGCCGGCCATCGTCGCCCTCAACCACGACCTCGGTGCGACATGGCTTGCGTTGGCGATGGGCCATGAGCCGACGTAGGTGACGCCGACGTGACGATCCTCGACGCCGACGCCTTGTACGCGATCGAGCCCGACTTGGCCGCCGGCGCACTGGGCGCCGTCTTGGTCCCGGGCGAGGTTGTCGTCGAGCCATGGCTCATCCCGATCGCGTACGCTTTGCACGGTCTCGTCAACGGCGGCCAGATCCGCACGGGCCACTGCGTTGCGTCGGGCGCCTTCTCGCCGTCGACCGTACGCGCATCGACCATGCCATCCCGAGTGTAAAGAAGATGCTTCTGTCTAGCTCACGTGGACGCTTCGTTGCACCAACGGCGTGACAGTCGACGCGCGCTGCGTCATCAACTGCGCCGGCAACTATGGCGACGTCGTCGAGGCCATCCACACGCCCCACGCCTTGCCCTTTTCCGTACGACGACGTGCTTGTCGGTCGGATGGCGTCATGTCGTGGACTAGATTCGTCCACGGAAAGGCCAGTTTGTGGTGTTTGGCGGCCCGAGACCCCCGAAACTCCAGCACGTGCTCCAGCCCGTCCCGACGCACCGCACCAAAGGTGTCTTTGTCTTCCAAACAGTCTACAACCAAATCGTGGTACGGCGTCGATCCGACAACGATATGCGACATGTCGGTGTAGGTGGGACCGACGGCCGAGGAGCAAGAGGGCCGCGAGCACCCAACGACGGACCCGGTCGTGCTCGGTCGTCTCGCCGCCTTTGGGAAGCGCGTGTTGCCGGGCTTGGCAGCGACACCAATCGTCGGGTCGTACGCCGGTACGAAATACCTCGCCGATGCGTCCAACCATGGAATGCGACGCAATATCGTTGACGCTAGGGCTGCGACCGGCGACGCAGCACCGCGACTACCAGCTGTCGCTGCACGTGACGAAGCGCTGGATCACGGTCGCGGGCGTTCGATCCACGGGCGTCACGGCGTCGTTAGGTATCGCCGAGCGCGTTGCCTGCGACTTTGTACCGCAGCTGCCTGGCTTGGCACCGCGCCCGCTGTCGGCGCCAGTAGGCTTTCGCCTTCCGCCGATCGCAGTCCTCGCCGCGGCCATGCACCCGAGTGACTATACGCTCGAGCTACACGGAATGACGTGGCGAGTCGACCATGCGATCACCCGCTTTGGCTGGCAAGCGCTGAGAACCGACAAGGCCGCGGCTCGCCTCTAACGACGATCCTGACTAGTAAGCGTCTGTAATGCTAGCAGTCGAATCTGTCTTTCGTCCCTACTACATACTATAGGGTTGATGTGCAGCGTTGGTGGCAGTAGTGTGTGTATTAAGAGCATCGATGGATCTCTACTCCTTGTCCAGGACCACGTCGTCCTGACGCTCCTCGACGACGAGCGCGCCGTGCTTCTTGGTGAGCTTCTCGGTGAGCATGGTCCGGAACTCGGCCATGACGTTGTTCTCACGCTGCTGCTTTTCTTCAAAGTTGATGAGCGCGAGCGCGCGCTTCTCTTCGGCCGAGTAGACTTGGTTCTCCTTCCGGATACGCACGGCGTTCATGCGCTGGTGGCGCGACCCACTCATGACGTACCCCGCCGTCTCGAGCGACTCGATCTCGTTGCCGCTCCAGCCGACCTCGCCGCGCCGAGGAATGCGCATGTTCTTCTGAACGTACTGCGCAATGGCCGCGCCTTCGCCCGGCAGCAAGTCGCGACCGTACGAGCCACCGCCCTTGCCGCCGCTGTCGCCGTCCGGCATGGGCATGGGTCCAATGACCTCGGGCTCGTCGTCGAGGGCCGCGGCGGCGTGGTGGCCTTGGACAGCCTCGCGAAACTGACTGGCTTCGAGGGCGTCGGCAGCGTTGAGCGGCGACGACGATGGCTGGTTGGTATGCACGTCGCTCTCGTCGCTGCTGCTACTACTGTCACTGCTGCTGCTGCTGCTGCTTGGACTCGGGCTGCGTCGACGCTTCTTGGAGGACGACTTGGACGACTTTTTGCTTTTGGACGACGACGACTTCTTCTTCTTCTTTGCCTTGGCCGACGACGTCTTGCGCGACGATGACTTCTTACTGCTGCGTCGGCGGTCGTCGTCACTGCTTTCCGAGGACGACGACGACGGCGCAGGCGACGGCGACCGACGCGAGGGCTTCTCGGGCTCTTTCTTGGCTTTGGGTGGCGGCGACGGCGGACTCGGAAACGTCGACCAGATGCTAAACACTTTGGCCTTGCGTTCGTCGATGCGCGCTTGGTAGTAGTCCGAGTCCATCGACCCGCCGTAGGCCGCTGACGGGCGAGACGAGAGACTGCTGCCGTACTTGCTCATGCCACCGCTGCTTCGCCCATCGTGGGCTGGCGGCTTGGTCGATCGCGGGCTGCGGTTGCGGTCAACGGATCGTCGTGCATTGCGATCCGACGTGTCAGGTCGATCTGCGCTGCTTCGGCCGCGCTCGGACTCGCGGCGACGGGGCGATCGGTCCCGCCCACGGCCGCTGTCCTCGCCGCGGTCGCGCGACCGCCGACTGTCCCGCGAGCGGCCAAACTGATCGACGTTGTCATTGCGGTCGCGCGATCGCTTGGCCTCGCGCGTGGGGCGACGATCGCGGCTGCTGCTGCGGCGGCCTCGGCTGCGGCTGCGGCTTCGCATCCCGAAGCAGTATACACTATTTGCTTCGCTTCCATATTTGATTGGTCGTTTACATCATACAGTATTTGATACCACATGTGGTGTACCATATAGTGTATTATACAACACGATTTGAGTCGACAGGATATAGTATACGATTGCCAGCTTTTGAATTTCAAAGCGAGCACAATGGCGTTCGAGTACCGGCGGCTGCTCGAGGACGACCGCGCCAAGGCGTATCTGCGCAGCTTCGCCTCGGAGCGCAGTCGATGGAACGAACTCGTCGAGGCCACGTTCCTCTACGGCGTGCACTGCATTGCGCAAAACTACTCGTTGCATGCGCTGACCACCGACCAAGTCGTCGACATCACGCGTGCGTCGCGTCCTCTCCTGCGCCATCACCGCTAATGGCAATGCTGTAGGGGCGACGCTCAAAAAGCCGCTGCATTACCAAGCCACGCATGCGGTCCATGCGCGTGAGGCGGCGCCAAAGCGCGCGATGGCGGCCAAGCCCTCGTCGTCATGGCGGCGTGGCAGCGCGGAGGAGCCAAGCCCGAACCCTGTCACACCGGCTCCGTCCACGACCCCTGCGCCGGTGCTACCCGACGGTACACACAGCGACCAAGCCCATGCTACATGACCTTGCTCATAGGACGCCAAGAGCTCGAGATGTACGCGGCGCTCGTGGGCAAGCCGTGGATGGAGGCGGCGTGGCAATCGTTTGTGGCCACAACAGGGTATCCGTCCATTGACGTCGACGCCTCCGAAGACGCGTTCTATACAGCGTACGAAGCGTTGCGCGATGCGCCGACGCTGACGCCGCAGCCGGCGCCACGCACCTTTCTCGCCTTTGTCCGCGCCGCCATGTTGCACGGCATGCGCCCAAGAACGCAAGTCGCATCCACCATGCAAGCTGCCATGGAAGCCAGCCCAAGCCAGCCCAGTCCTGCAAGGCTGGCAGCGACGACGAAGAGTCAGCCGAGTCCAGAAAAGACGCAAAGCACGCCGAGAGCGCGACCTCGTCCACCGGCGCCAAAGAAAGAGGCAGCGTCCAAGGTCAAGGCCGAGCTGGAGGCGCAAACGGCCAACGTGCTTCGCATCCGTAAGAACACGACGCAACGCATGCACGAAGCGCTCGCCAAGCACAAGCTGCATCACATGGAGGCGCATGCATCCGCGCCACCTCGCTTGAGGTCGCGCCCGCTGGCTCGCCCAGGTACTTCCGCCTTGACCCTCCTTCCACGAGGCAACGAGTCAAGTAGGCTCCAAAGCGCTCGAGATCGCTGATATGCTGGCCGCGAGTCCGTTCTTGCAAACGGTCGAGACGTACGTCCGTTGATGCAATCATGAGCTCAAGCTGCGCCAGGACACTTCCGGAACCGACGCCCGCCAGACCCAACGAAGCCGTGCAGTCGGAGCTCTACAGGGGCCGCCTTCTCGACCTGGACACATGCCAAGGTGCTCTATCTCGCGATCGCAAACATACATTCAACTGTCGTCCTAGCTCCACCGGTAAATCGAGAGCGCGCCAAAGAGGCGTTGAAGCCCCGAAGCCACGGTGCGAAGCTCTTGCCTGGTGCAGAGACTGACTGGGTATCCTAGACTACAAGGGCTGGCTCGGAGACTACGGACCAGCCCATACGCGCACGGTAGTGCCTGGCGACTGGAGTGAGCTCGACGACGCCGACACGCTTTGGCTCCAGCAACGCCGTACTCCTCACCACAGACTTGGTTGTGGAGGTTGATGGTAGCATGCCGGTAGGCGGCACCAAGGCCGGGGATCTGCCGCCGTACGAGTGGAACTTGGATGCGTACGCGACTTACAGTTGGTATGGCACGTGACATCCTGCGTAGGATCGACGTCGAGGCCTTGACGGATCCTGCGCCACTTCCCACCCCCGTGGTACACACGTCCGAGGTCGACCCCGCCTTCGAGTGGCTCGTGCCCGAGTCGTCGCGATAAGTCGAGCAACATAGTATCAATACAAGGCACTCGATAGGTTTCTTCTTATGGTGCGTGCAGTAGCAAGATCAAATGAACGCTCGTGTACGCCATGTACATGCCAAAGAGCACCTTGCCGTACCATCTCGGGCACTGGAACCGAGAGAGCGCGACCACACTCAGCGTGCTAACCAGACTCAGCACGAGAAAGCCCAGCGACACCTTGCAGTGCACGTCCCACGGCACGTGCGTTCTCGACGTCATGGACGCCAGTCGCGCCAAGAGCATCGGCAGGCCGAGCCCAATGAGGAGGTTGAAGACGGGGCCGCCAAAGCAGCCGGCGAGCGCCATCTCCGGGCACCCGCCGCGTGCGATGGCGACGTTGGTGCTCCAGTCGCCAATCGAGTTGCCCCACGAGAGGATCTACATCTTTCTTGTCCATGACGATATCAACCGATGTAGCAGTGTACCGTGAGGCCCACGACGCTCGGCGGCAGCGTCGTAATGTGTCCGACGGCTGCGAGCACCGAGACGAGCTCGGCCGCGAGCCCGTAGATCCAAGCGACGCACGCGACAAAGCCGAGTGCGTAGAAGCCCATGATGAGAGACCGCGATGTCGGCGCTGTCCGGTGGTAGGTGCCCACATACACGGCAAGCGAGAGCCCGAAAGAGGCGCTCACGACGGCCAAGTACACACGCGGGTGGGCATCCAAGAGCCCACCGAGCCAGAGCACAAACACACTCGTGGTGGTGACACTGAGCGCAGCGCGGCGGCGCGACCAACCATTGCGCCGCACGACGACCATTGGAATCGTCAGCTCCCGGGGCAAATCCAGAAGAAGGTATCGGACGTGGCGCCAGGAGCAGCGATGCCATCGTCCATACCAACGCGTTTGCCGTGGCGGCGGTGACACCACGTCGTCACTGCTCTCGTCGAGGAGCGGCGCGGCGAGTGTCTCTTGGCTCGGACCAAAGTACGTGTCAAAGATGGCGCCGTCAAACGCTTGCCGCGCCATCGTCGTCGATGGCTTGGTGCTTGTCATGGTGACAAACTTGTACGCAGGCGGCGACGTCTCGAAGAGCTGTGGCGCATGCCAGAACGCAAAGAGCACGCCGTGGTGGGCGTCGTCGGGCGCGGGCGCCGCCCAGCACGTCGGGAGGACGACGAGGAGCACGTAGATCGTGTAGACGAGCGGGAACGCGGCCATGTACATCGTGGATGCTTCGAGGACGCAGAGAATGATGAGCCCTACGACGACAAGCAGCGAGAGCACGTCGCGGCAAAACGCGCGCGGCGCGATCGCGACGACCGGCGACGTGGACGCGACGAGGACGGCGCCGACGACCATCGTCGTGACAAACATGACGCCACCGAGGAGCGCATTGAGCCCGGTCTCCATTGCGCCCGACGACGACGAGGCCAACGACGAGAAGACGTCGGGCGCGCCTAGGCCGCATGAGCTGCTGTAGATCGCGATATGGAAGAATGGTACCGTTGCCAAAGGCGAGCAAGGTGACGCCGGCCACGTCGAATGGAATGTGAAACTAGCGCAGCATGAGCATGCGCCGCGCTATGGCCATCGCACCTGCGTGCAGAGCGTCGAGAGCGTCGGCGAAAAGTACTCGTCGGCCGTGTTGCCCACTAGAGGACGGGTCGTAAGGAGGATGCTGCGATCGTGGAGTCGTACGGAGGTAGAAGAGGAGGACGAGCCATGCGGCTAGGACGAGGCAGGACGCCCATGCCCAGCCGGCCATGCTGCAGTAGTGGAACTCGAGGTAGTTGATCCCGAGCGGGCCCATCTCCATGTCGTAGGAGCAGTTCATGGTTGCCGGCAAGATCTCGAGTCAAATTTGTATGCGGGTGTTTTTCTTTCGTACGTATTTAATACATCGGCGTGACGCCGTACTTTATATTTGTATTGGACATTGAATTTTAGGTTTAAAAGGTATGTTTACGGTAGAAATATTAACGTTAGCAGCAATCTTCCCGTTGGCTAATCGCACGCATACCGAACCGCACAGGCGGGCTACCGCCGTGGTCGCAGACTTGCCTTGGCGGAGCAAGCGCTGCCTCGAGAGGTAAGTACGTGTATCATATCTATCTGTAGAGTGTATTACATGCGATCTCGATATGTGAATACCGTCCGGCGAAACGTCTAGCGCTGTAAGACGCGTGTGTTTAGCTAAACTAATTCTTGAGCGATCGTCGCCTTTTATGAGCGAATTACGTCATTTAATTCCTACTGCCGACAAATTGATGTTGTTTGTAAAAAATGACTCGCGATTTGTATGGCCATGGCTGGCGCAATTTAAAGACGTGGGATTGTAAAGCGCCGGCCAAGGTGTGGTGCGAGATATTTGGATATCTTGCGCGCCTGTGACGTGGCCCGATGGTACAGCCCGGCGATCGAGGGTCATGGCCCACGACCGCGCCTGCGTAGGTCGAGGTAGATGCAGCAGTGACGCCGGACGTGGCGATGACCAAGGCGCAGAAGAAGAAGAACCGCAAGAAGGCCAAGAAGAAGGACGGCGACGAGTCGCCACAAGACGCGACCGAGGCTGCCGAGCCAGCGACCGAGCCGCCGGTCTACCGCATGGAGCGACCTGTCGTGTCCGAGCTTCGCGTGCCTACGACGAAGGAGGCGCCGATTCCATCGCCGGCGCAGCAAAAGGACATTGTCCACAGCCTCATGCTCCAGTCCAAGCAGCATGTACGTTCTGTCGTCCATCGCACTATCTCTCATGCAGGGACGCGCGATAGGGCATGAAGGTCGGCGAAAAGTTCTTCGTCGTCAACTACAAGTGGTGGGAGTGCTGGTGCGACTACGTTGGCTACTTGGGTAGGCTCCCCACTCGATCGATCGATTCACTGGGGACTCGTAGAGGCCAAGGGTGGTGCTCCGCGGTCGCTTCCGTCGTCCAAGCCGCCAACGATCAACAACAGCTCGCTCCTTGATCCTGCGTGCGACCAGATGGACCACGTTGTGGGCTCCGCGCTCTTGCCGGGTCTCGTCGAGCACAGCGACTACTTTCTCGTGCCGTCCGAGGTCTGGTCTGCACTCACCGTCTGGTACGCTGGTGGTCCGCCCGTCTGCCGCTTCGTCGTCGGTGTTGGCGAGCCGTCGTCGCCGCAGTACTTTACGCGCGTCGAAGTCTACCCCGAGACGGCCGGTGACAGTGACGTCGAGATGGATGTCGAGTCGTCGTCGCCGCCACCGACGCCAACGTCCAAGTGCACCGTGTGTGGCCGCCCCAGTCGCAATCGGTGCGGTCCCTGCAAGACACCGTTCTACTGCTCCAAGCAGTGTCAGAGCGCGCATTGGAAGTACCACAAGAGCGTCTGCCGCGTCCTCAGAGGTCGTTCGAGCCAAAGATGCTCGTCGCTCATGCTGCTGTAGATGGCGGGTCGGTCTCGGTCGTCGAGGTGCATGGCCGGCGCGGTCAAACTGGCCTTCGCAACCTCGGCAACACGTGCTTTATGAACGCGGCGCTGCAGTGCCTGAGCCACACGCCCGTGCTCACGGCGCACTTTCTCACCAATTTGTACCAATCGGATCTCAACACGGACAACGTCCTGGGGACTGGCGGCCAGCTCGCGACCGAGTACGCGGTCCTGCTCAAAGAACTCTGGTTTGGGGCGGCCTCGAGCGTCACGCCGTCCGCGCTCAAGCGTTCGCTGGCGCGCTACGCGCCGCAGGTACAGCGGTGTATCAGTGTATCAAGTGGTCATGCGACATGTGGTAGTTTTCGGGCTACCAGCAGCACGATGCGCAGGAGCTTTTAGCGTACCTCCTTGACGGCCTCCACGAGGACGTCAATAGGATCCAGAAGAAGCCGTACATTGAGATCCAAGAGTCGAACGGGTCGCAGCCGGACGCGGTGATTAGCGACCAGGCGTGGCACAACCACTGCCTGCGCAACCAAAGCATCTTTGTCGAGCAGCTCCAAGGTCAGTTCAAGAGCACGGTCGTCTGTCCGACGTGCGACCGCATCTCGATCACGTTTGACCCGTTCAACGTCATCCAGCTCGAGCTTCCGACCGACGCGAATCGGCACCTGGACGTACGGAGCCTGCTATGACTACCCGATGATCCGACGATGATGGCGTCATCCTAGGTGCTCAGCGTGCCGTTCTTTACGAAGGCCTCGTACGCGGACAAGAGTCTCGAGCACTTGGGGCCGACGCACTACCGCCTGAGTGTCCCAAAGCGCGGCACGGTCGCCCAGCTCAAGGTAGTACCCCTCCGAGGGATCGATAGACGTCGATGGTCATGTCGAACTATCGCAGAAAGCGCTCGCCAACATGGGCTGCAGTATGTACTCTGCGACGTCTTCCAGTCGATGGTCTACCGTGTGCTGCCGGACACCGAGCGTGTCGCCCGCATCCGGTCCGACGACCGCTTGGTGTGCTACGACGTGCCGCTCGGATCGGGCGTGGTCTTTTGTTACCACCGCAGGTCCGTCCTCGTTATCTCTGACGTGTTGATGATGTTGTGTGGGGTAGGGCGTCGGGCCAGCTCTTTGGGGACCCGATCTTGCTCTCGTACACGGCGTCGACAACGTGCGAAGAGTGCGTTTTGCGATCCATCGGACACGAGCTGGATTCGCATACAAAATGATGACGTAGACTGGTCCGCAACTTGACGTACCAAGTGTTGCCGCTGGTCGCGCCGACCGTCCTTTCCGTATGTACCAAGGCGTACAAACAATGGGACAGAATTGCCTCGTAGGTCCCAGAGGGCAAGAAGGCGCACCTGGAGCTGCTCAAGCTCCTCGCCAAGCACGTATGTCGCCCTTGTCATTTCTTGCGTCATGACTGATGCGGCACAGGTGTACCTCGCCAACCAAGACGGCGCCAACGTGCCTGGCGCCGCCTCGCTCGACGACTGGAGCGCGTTCTTGCCGAGTGCGACCGTGGCGTCTCTGGGCCTGGTACCGTCCATTCTTGTGTAAGAAGAGACATATCGCATTCGCGCAGGGCGACTGCGCGTACTTTGGCATCGACTGGACCGACGACCTGGTCTACCAAGAGCCCGAAATGGACGTGCACGAGTCGGCGCAGCACGCCAAGGCGGCCAAGACCGGTGGCATTTCGCTCGACAGCTGCTTCAAAAAGGTAAAAGCATAAGTGCCATGTTGTGGCTCACGCGTGGATAGTTTACAAGCCCCGAAGAGCTCGACGAAGACAACCTGTGGTACTGCAGCCAGTGCAAGGAGCACCGTCAGGTAGCTTTGTCGTTTGCTGTGTGCGATGCTACATGGCGGCGCAGGCGACCAAGACCATGGAGCTCTACAAGCTGCCCAACATTCTCATCCTCTCCCTCAAGCGATTCGAGTACCGGTACAGTAAGCTTGTACGATGTATGTACGAGACGAATGCGCGAGTAGAAACGAAGTGGTGCGGGAGAAGCTCGACATCATGGTCGACTTTCCGCTCGAAGGTCTCGACATGGGCCCCTACTGTCTCTCGACACCGGACGGCATGGTCTATGACTTGTATGCGGTCACGAACCACTATGGCTCGATGGGCTTTGGCCACTACACGGCGTACGCCAAAGGTATGTCGTACAACATTGTCATTCTCGGTGCATTCGACTGCGTAGATGTGGAGCACAATCTGTGGTACACGTTTGACGACAGCAGCGTCACGCCGGTCGGCGCGTCGCAAACTGTCTCGAACGCCGCGTACATTTTGTTTTACAAGCGCCGCTAAGACGTTTCTGGAATGCTACGTGCTTAGATGCTCGACTTTTGTCGCCGCCGCCTGTGCTTTGGATGGGGTTGATAGATTGATATTGCAGGGTCGGATGGCGTCGGTGGCACTCGCGTTGCGCGCTCCAACCAGCGCGCGCGCTCGGCCTGCAAGACGGCGGGCGGCAGGTTCAAGTGGCGAGAGGCCAGATACTGCTTGCAGGGGGAGACAAGGCCGTCGATCGAGAGCGTTGGCAGCGACGCGACTGCTGTCGCATGAGGGCGCGCGAGAGGCGAGAGGCGCGTCGGCTTGGTCGGCGACGTGGGCAGCGGCTGCCCCGACACGCGCGACTGCACCTCGAGTGGCGCACTAGACGAACAAGCCAGTGGGCGAGGGTTCGATGCCGCAGAATTACCTGCTCACGAGATCGCTAAAGCCGACCGCGTTGGCCGCTTGCACTCGGAAATGCACAAAAGCGTCATGTTGACGCAGGTCGTCGGCGGTTGGACAGTAGGTGGGCTCGATGCCGACGTAGATGCCGCGCCAGGGCAGCGTCAGCTGCTCACCGTCGTGGGACCACGCCATCTCAAGGGCATACCCATTGATCGGCGCTCCGTTGGGCTTCGCGGGCGTCCAGTGCACGCGGAGGTAGCTCGTTGCAACAAACCGCGCTGGCCACGGACTGCCGACGGGCAGGACAACCTCGTCGACATGCAGGGCAAGAGGAGGGTCCGGGGCGCACGCTGTCGTTCTAAACGTTATTTCGGCGCTGGTGCTAGACAGCGTAAGGCCGTCGATCGTGCACACGCAGCAAAGCCGCCCGCGGTAGCTCGTGGCTGGTTCCAGTTTTCGTAGGGTTAGGGTGTTGTGCACGTGGTCGTCCACAACCGCGTCGGTCGGCAGTGGCTCGAACGTATACTTGACAGTCTCTACTTGAAGGTGCGATGGCAGCTGTGTGCGATGCAGACCGGCAAAGTGCAGAGTCGCCCAACGCGCGTCCGCGAGCGCCAGGGTGGGGGATGTCGGAGCTACGTACGCGTTGTGCCACGTCATCCGGACTCACCACGGTGTAGTAATACCTGTGAGGCAGAGCGCACCCGGGCGCACGCAGAGTGTTCCTATCCGTGTTTGGAGGCGCAGCCACAGCACGTGGAGCGGCAAGCCCATATCGGGCGTCTCGTAGGTGGTGTGGCTGGTTGAAAACCTACTTGTCTTCTCTGGTGTCTCGTTCATCTAGTACGAGACTCGCCTGGTTTCAAAGCGGCGGTGCGATGGCTCGTAGCACTGCACATCGTACTCGGCGTGTGCGTCGGGCGCCGGCGGCCACGAGAGGCGCAACCTGCCGTGACTGAGCGCGTCAATCGTCAGGGGGCCGCAGCCTAGTGGCGTCACGATGGATGATGGTATTGGCAGGAACGAAGAGCCCACCTGTGAGAAAAGTAGTTTGCGCCACGAACTCGAACGCATGCGTGGCGGCCCAGCGCACGCCTAGCCGCACGAGACACTCCTGCAACACGACAACGTGTCCATAATCACTAGAGACGACGACGATGACGACGTACGCAGTGGGATGGCAGCGACGAGAGGCGGCACTCGAATTGACAGACGCCGTCGTCTCTGGTGGCCACGGTCGCTGGCGTGGCACCGACCCATGCGCCACCATGTTCGATTTCGACGCAGCTCTCAAGGCTGGTGCGACACCAGTCGGGTGTCTTGAGACTGAGAACGACAAGGGCGCTCTCATAGGTGGTCTCGGCGATGTCGAGCGTACAGAGAGGCCAGGCGGTTGAATGCGACAATGGCGCGACCGGGGAAGTAAACTGATGATCGATCTCCGCGACGACCGCGCACGTGTAGGTTGACGCCCGCGCCAGCACCACGTCGGTCACGTACAGGTTGCTCCCGGAGTCATGAACAAGGGTGGGCGCTGGCTCGAGGCGCACCAGCGGCGAACGATCTCGGGACAACCACACTTGGAAGCGCGCCGTGTACTCGGCGAGGTGCGGCGGCAGCGCCCAGCTCCACTCGAGTCGAAGGTGACACCCCATGCCGCGCAGGCGAAGCGGGATGGCTTGGACAACGACGACCGGTAAGGACGATGTTAAATCAGCACTTCCTGCGCGCAGATTCAAGCGGTACACGTCGAGCAGCTCTCGCGGGGCCACGTCAACGACCGTCGATGACGCGGCGTTGTCATGTTTTGGCGGCGCGTCACTGACGGCCCACGTATCGCTGGCGGTATACACTTGCAGCTCAATAAAAATAGAGGACGCGGCGAGCCAATACGGTGGCGTCGACCAGCGCAGCTGCGTGGTTGGTGCATGAGACGCGATGGTGTCGAGATGCAGAGAGAGCGACGTGCGTATGCGCTCGGCAGGCGACGTGGCCACGCAGCAACCGCTCTGCACTTGGATGCGGACATCGTACTCTGTGTCGGGTCGCAGTTGCAGTAGCCCGTGTGGTGTTTTGAAGCTGCGGAGGGGCTGCCGCATGGTCTCGTCACCGCCACTGACAACCACCGCCCAAGCACCTGCCGATGCGAGAGCGTCGTTGCACGCAGCGTGGAGCCACCAGTGCTGCTGGACACCCCAGACCGAGATTGCGGCCGGCGCTGTCACGATGGAGAGAAGCGTCCAGTCGTTTATCTCTGTGATCTCGCCGAGCAGCGCGGTGCCAAGGACTTTGTCACAGTGTGCAAGGCGCACGCGGAAGGCGAGGCGCGACTGCGGAGGCAAATCCATCACGTGCACTGGACCGACAACGCCCGTGTACTCAAGGCGCCAGTCGTCGTCATCGATGCACCGTTCGAGCTGCAATGTAGCGCAATGCAAGAGCTCGATGGGCCATGTCGGCCACGAAAAGGTCGCAGACGAGGCATCGCTTTCGACGGTGGGCAGCGGAAGGCTGGAACGTCGGGCCACAACATCCCATGGCGAGAACAAGACGTCGCTCTCGTCGGTACTCGGCAGCAACGTGGCCACGCCGAGCCGAAACCGGACGCGCATCGACAGCGGATCGAGCTGAAACCGAGTCGTTGTCTACCAAAACGGGAGATGAGTTGTCATGCAATCACGGTGATGTGCTGACGTTGAGAAGGGCGTCGAGGGACTGCCACGGCACCATGGCGACTGGCGGATCGTTCTCCGAGTAGCTGACTTGAATGCAAACAAAGTACAAGTGCTGGGACAGCTTGAGGTGATCCCAGCGCCAGAGCACCACAGGTCCAAGGCTCGTGACCGAGAGCTGGGCAAGGAGGACCTCGAGCGCTTGCTGTAGCTGAAAGGAGACTCGGCTGTGGGCAGCAATGCTCTCGTTTGGCGACATCGTCGCGATGTGGTATGAGCTTGTCGAGAGTGGTGACAAGGATTCTGGTACTTCGAGTGTCAGATCTGGTGTCAGATCTGGCGAGGTAGTGTCCAGAGGCGTCGGCTTCTCTGCGTCATCCACGTCGATGGCCTCGTCGTCACCGCGACGAGGGGAATCGGCGACGAAGCTGTCGTCAAGTGGTGCGATCGCAATCGCGTACGAGGTCGAGTCGGCGTCGTCGGGATCCATGTTTTACCGCGGCCGTTCCACGCCGTTTCAGAAATGACATGTTGTGCACACTTTCTTCTTATATACATATTACAAACGACATGATGTCTCGTATCCACCAGACAACGCAGCACTTACAACTAGACCGACACTTCCCCGGGCACGCGGTCCCCCGTCCACGTCCATTCATTGTCATCGTCGTCGTTGAGGACGTTCGGGGCGGCAACCTTGGTCTCCAAGCTTTGCACGTAGAGCTCGGCAGCGAGGCGGCGCGTGGCCGTCTTGACAAACACGGCAGCGGCGAGACCCAAGACGATCGCGGCAACGACGACGACAATCACAGCGTGGCTGCTGCCGCCCTCGGCCGTCGTGGCGGCCGCCTCAGCGCTGGACGTGACCATCGCAGGCAGCGAGAGCAGCATGGCACGCCACGGCGTCGCGCTCAGCACCGAGAGCGACACGTTGGTGGCGTTCCAGACGCAGTCGGGTGTCGTATTGCGCGCAAGCGCCTGCAGCGACGCGTACACGGCTGCGCAAGCGTCGTTGGATTCAAAGGACGCGGGGAGCGTCGCGTTGCGAGCGACAAGAACGTCGTAAAAGGCAGCGAGCGACTGCGCGCGACAGACCAGAGCGCTCTCCGAGTCGGTGGCGAGCGCGACGAGCGGGCGCAGGACGCTGCTTGGGCAGGTCATGGTACGATGGGAAGAATCGGTAGTAATAGTAATGCGGCGGACGTCTCTGACGCGCGACAGTCGGGCGCGTCGTCGTCCCACCCTCGTCGTCCCACGTCGTCGTGACGCGCCGACTGCACAACGCCGGACTTGTGTCCTCTTGGGTGGCGGCTGTCGTAGTGATGAGCTAGCACAATGTTCAATTTCGCTCCAGAAAGTCGACGAGCTGCAATATCGGTCGTGAGGCGTGTCGACTTGATCACATTTGATGGCGTCGTCCCAGCACCTTCGTGAACGCGGCAGGCTGGTCGCGCTGCACACGACACCAGATGGGATTGCAGAACGCTCCTCGAACGCTCACTTTGCGTATTCCACCATTGTACTGTATATGGTAATTACAACTATGTAGGAACCCTAGTCACGAACGACTCGAACGCATCGAGTTTTATCACTCGGATGTCCAGTTAGATGTGGCGTATGTCCCTCATGGGTATCGATCGAAAGATGGACAAGGTCCACTGGACAAGGTCGATGGCTTCATCGATCGTCGATAAACAAAGAGCGTGATACAAAACAAAATGTGGATACAGTGTCTCCAGACTGCGTTTAAAACGCTGTTTTCTCCGGGTTTTCTCCGAATCCACGCACCGGGTTTTCTCCGGGTCCAAGCGTTTGGCTCGGGTTTCGGTGACCGTTTCGGAACCAATTCAAATGACTCGAAAGCGGCAATTCAAAGACACCCCCAAAGATGGAGCGGATCAAAGAGCCGAAGAGAAAGAAGCCCCGCTCGATGACCAATATAGTGGCTATCACTGCCCAGATTGCTGCCCGGCCGCAGCCCGAGCCCATTTACGACCCTGAGAGGGAGAAACGGCTCGAAACCAAGGAACTCTTCGAAAAGTTGGAGGCCGAACGGCGCGAGCAGATGTCGAAGAAGCCAAAAAGACGCCGGAAGGACCAAGATCCTCCGCAATCCGAGCGATCTCGTCTCGGATCCTCGGCCATGGCGTCCAAGGCCGGTGGTCAATATGGGTAATGGCGATGTATCGTGACTGTGCAGCAGTACCGATAGGCAGCTACCCCGCCGCAAGCCAAAATTGCATTGAGAGTGACGATGACGATGAAGACGACAATTCCCCAACATTTGAAGAGCACATACACATAAAACTACGGAAGCAACAACATGCCGGCCGGCGGGCTCGCCAGGCAAAGGCGTGGTATGAGTTGTCCAATTTGGTTGTATCAATACTTACGTGGTAGACGACATCGATGGGCGTCGATTCTACCTCGTGCGTCGCTGCATGCCTCGAATGACATGCAACACAGGACGAGGTGTACATGCAGTGTGTTGAAATATCAAAAATATATCATTTCTTATTCGTGGAGGTCGCCGCACCCGTCCTTGGCCGCGAGTCCCAAGGCTTTGATTTGGCGTGCGAGCTGCGTCAGGACGACCGCGAGGCGCGAGCCACCAACGACAAACTGCTTTTCGACGACGCGGACGAGGCGCGCCTGATACGCCGGCGACGGGCACGGTACAAAGCCCTTGGCGTTGAACGTCAAGTCCAAGCCTTCGTAGGCAGCCGCTTTCGCAAGCACAAACGAGTCGACGATCGTGCGCGGAAACACATCCTTGGTCATGATACTCGTAAACTCTGCGTACGGAACGTTCTTGTACATTGTGTAGTCGACCGCATCGGCCGAGAGATTGCCGCCGTACGTTGCAAGGAGGCGCGTGGCGTTCGAGCGCAAAAGCGCCCGGCCCGGCGACCCCGGCACCATCTCAGGTGTCCAGTTGGTCGAGTACTCGCCCGCAGCGCTGTCCCAGATCGCGTGGAGGTTGTTGGCGCTGCACGGAGAGGCAAATTTGCGCTTGTTGCCGCCGAGGTCGCCGTTGGGGAGGGCGTCCGAGACTCCAGCCGCCGTGTGCATCGGCTGGTGAATGTCGGTGAACGCGTGGAGAAAGTACCGCAGCATAAAATTCGCGGCCCAGGTGGACTGCGTCGTCGCAAACGTCTTGAGCGTCTTGGTCATGACATCCAGGGCGAGGCCGTCGAACGACGCTTTCAAGAGCCCGTTGATGTCACGAGGCGAGACTCCGTGGTAGTCGGACCCGTTCGTGAAGAAAGGGAGGTTGACGTAGTGCCAATTGTCCATCGAATTGACCGACGGCATGAGCGGCGACGGACAGTACATGGCCGACGTCGACGCGCACTTGAGCAAGTCGGGCCAAATGACGGCCGTTGCGACGTCGCCCGTGTTGGGAAAGTCGTCGTCCCACTTTTGGAGGACGCTCTGGAGCACGGCAACGTCGTCGGTCGTCATGAGCTGCGTCGCGATCTCGGCCGTCAGCATGTGACCGCCGTCCCACCACGCCATGGCCGGCGTCGCCGCCAGCGTCATCGTTGCCATCCATCCAAGCAGCATGCTCCCTTAGTTTGTCGAAGGTGAATGTGCAAATGCAGTCGCCTCGCATCGACCAAGCAAAACATAACCTGGCGCATGGGTATCGTCCGACCCTGGTTTACCCAACCGACAAATGGGAGGCACCAATCCCAGCTTAGGCTCCTGGCTCCTGGCTGCGAGTTTGAACATCGTCGCAATGTGCATGGCAATCTCCGATGGCCTTTCTATGGTGTTAGGGTGAGAAAGAAGGTTTGTCTACTCTGACAGCACTGTACACGGGGCATGTCGCATGCACTCGCCTTGAACACACAACATCTCTGTCCATACGCAGACAGACAATATTCATGCGATCCAATCCACCAAGTATTTAAAGCGTGACCCTGACCCCGCGAGGTGGTGGTAGATCTCTTCTTCGAATGTCCTTGCTCGCAGAGTCGCAAAGCGTATGCAGGCAACCGTGCACATCGCTGTCTCGTAATAGGGCTAGGGTTTCCGCGTTGAAGCGTCGTTGACCGTACGCATCGCACGATACAGTGTACTGGCTCTTGATTACACTGTATAGTTTTACCACTACGCACATCGCCCGTCGCATATGCCGCCTCATGATGATACCCAGGTCGCCAACCGTTGATTCGACGCCCCAAGCGACCGCAGGACGACAACCAATACAGAACTCCACCAGTGTACGCAATCGCGCGGCCTCGACACACGCCAGATAGTAGTTGTAGTTGGTCCGTTTAAATGTAGTGTAAAATCGATTACAAGAGCGTCGCGGACTTGAGCTGCTTGGCGACTTGGGTCAGCACCACCGCGAGGCGCGAGCCGGCCGTGTAGACGCGGTTCTCGAACGTCGAGAGGAGCTTGGCCTGGTACGCGGCCGTCGGGCACGGCACCTTCTTGTTGGTGACGGTCAAGTCAATGTCCTTGTAGACGACCGTGCGCGCGATGCCGTACGACTCGAGGATCACGGCCTGGATGCCCTCGTCCTTCATCGCCTTGAGAAAATCCTTGTACGAGAGCGACGCGTACTTCTTGAAGTTGAGCGCATCGGTCTGGCCCTGGAACTTGGTGATGAGCGCCGTCGCGTTCTTGGTGATCTCGAGCCGGTTCGGGTCGTTCTCGATCGGGCTCCAGTTGACCGGGTACCGGTTGGCCGCGCTGTCCCAGATCGAGTGGAGGTTGGCACCGGCGTCGCACGGCTGCGCAAACTTGTAGTTGTTGCCGCCCAGATCGCCCTTGGGGAAGTCAGCCGAGATACCAGCGACCGTGTGGAGCGGCTGGTGCACGTCGCCAAAGACGTGGAGGAAGTAGCGCAGCATAAAATTGGCCGACCAGTTGGAGCCCGTTTTCCCAAACGTCGAGAGCGCGTTGTTGAGCGTGTCGACGGCGCGGCCACCGATGGACGCGGCCATGAGCTGCTTCGGGTCCGTAATGCCGTTCCAATCCGAGCCGTTGACGTTGAGCGGGATGTTGACAAAGTGCCAGTCGTCCTGCGTGCCGAGCGACGGGATGAGCGGCGACGGGCAGTGGGGCAGCTTGGAGTTGCACTTGACGAGATCGGGCCACATGGACGCCGACGTAATGTCGCCCGTGAACGGGAACTGCGTGTTCCAGCGGCTCAGAATCGTGTTGAGCGTCGTGACGTCTTCCTTGGCCATGAGCTGCGTGGCCACTTCACCGACCGTCTCGTGACCGGCGTCCCAGAACGCGTGGACGTTGGTGGAGGCGACCGCCAGCACCGCGAGCGTCGAGATCGTCTTCATGCCGGGTCGAGAAAAAGTGAAAATGAGTCGAGTTCTAAACTGGGTTGGCGCCGCCCAGCTGGGCTTGAAGTACACCTATTTCCGGTACTAATTGCATTACGAGTTCAATCCTGCCTGATCAGAGCCGTAATGTGCGGCTGTCGACTCGACAGGCAGCCGCAGATTCCGCATCAATGGTTGGGAGATTCTCACTTCTTGGCCCTTTCTATTCGACGACGTCGTCGTTGGCCACATAGAGACTCTGTTCGACGGTGGCCGTCGTGTCCATTACCCCTAGACACCACGTGTTTCCTCGCAGCTTCCTGGCGCGTCTGAGTCGAACGACTGGTGCAAAGCCCTGGCCAGAGGAATCTCGGGCCGCCCAACGTCGGCAAGCCTCTTTTGCCTGTCTTTGGCGTGGCGCCACGAGACGTGGGTTGATTGACATGGGTCCGCTCAACCCACGAAGATTCGCGGACGAATCTGCGCTGGCGGAATGACCTGGCGCGCGGTGGGACGACCGGTCGTCCATAATCCACCTTAGCCATAAAAATGCATGCACAACCATACATTTTTCGAGATCAAAACTATTGGCTACAAAAATGGGTGTAATGTGCATGTATTGGCCAGATGCCACGACGCACGTGCTTGGATTCCATCTGGGGCGCCGGTTGCATGGTTGTCAACGGACGCTCTTGGGTCGCATAGTGTATACAAATCACTTCAAGCGTAGGATGTGCATATGTGGTGCGATAGCCACGGCTTCTCGTGAGTTATGAAGCTCATACAGCTGGCGCGCCATCTGTAGCAACACTTCAAGATCGACGGCCAGCATTTGTTGCTGGCTCACTTTGCTTTTTCTCACCCACCACGATGAAGACGACGACGTTCACGACCCTCGCCGTGCTCGCGGCGACAACCCATGGCTACTGGGACCAGACGCACATGATCACGACGCAGATCGCGACGCAGCTCATGCCCGCCGAGGACCTTCGCTATGTGAACGCGCTCCTCTCGACGTGGAACGCCGACTTCCCCAACACGGGCGACGCGACGACGGCGACGATCTGGGCCGATCTCGTCAAGTGCGACTCGGTCGTCTCGACGTACTGCCCGTCGCCGGCGCACCCGTCGGCGCACAACCAGGACGACTGGCACTACACTGACCTCCCGCTCAACGTCGATGGCACCGACTACATGGGCTTGACGTCCAAGGACGTGACGAAGCTCATTGCGCTCTCGCCGGATGGAAGCGCGCTCACGGTCCTTCCCAAGGCCCTCAACGCGTTCAAGACGACGCAGTCGACGTGGGCCGCCAACTTTGCGCTCCGCTACATCCTCCACATCTTCACCGACCTGCACCAGCCGTGCCATGCGTCGACGGGCGTCTCGCCCAAGTGGCCCGAAGGCGACGTCGGTGGCAACAAGTACAAGTTCGTCTCTACGTGCGACGGTGCGAACAACCTCCATGCGTACTGGGACTCGGTCGCGGGCAAATATGGCTCGATCAACTGGCACCCCAACATGACGGCCGACTCGCCCAACCGCCAGACGATCAACGAGATTGCTCGCAACCTCACGGCCGCGTTCAACGGCACGACGGACGTGGCCAACTTTGGCCAGTACGCCAACCTTCCGTTCACCGAGTTTGCCAAGGCCTTTGCGGGCCCGGCCCTCAACAGCGTCATGGCCACGTCGTACGACCTCGCGCGCTTCGTCACGTACAAGGGCATCGACCTGACGCTCGACGCCAAGGACAAGATCGCGTGCCCCAACGAGGCCTACAAGAAGGCGACCATTGACACGCTCGAACGCCAGGCCTATGTCGGTGGCGCGCGCCTCGCGGTCGTGCTCAGCCAAATCGCGCGCCAGATCAAGGCCTTGGGCCTGGTCACGCCCGGCGCGTGCTAAGCTAGACAAGCCTTGTCTACTGCATTGCACCGTATAGGACTATAATACATGGGCGTATCTATATGTTCGATGGGACTCAAATGCTGACGAGGAACATGTAACTGAGCAGCAATGCGGGCACATGGCGTCAGTGCGTGATGACACTGCCTCAAACTGCTGGCTGAGTTCAGCCGAATCGGTCGCGCGCCAGAGTACTGGTACCGTACGGTGGACTCGCCAGGAACCAGAGATGGACAACAGCTTAAAATCAGATTCAGTAGCGGCAACTACCACCGCATGGTATAGCTCGCCGACCTCACGAAATCGTGCAAGCCAGAGCTCATGATTGTACGCGTGATAGCTGAGCTGATAGCGCGCGCAATGGGTTGCTACAGCCAAAGGCACTGGACAATACACCGCCTTTTCCTCCTCGACCGATAGAATGCCCAACGCTTTAGATTCTCTTTCGCTCTAGACAGTCTTGTTTGCGAGGGGGGCACCTCAGTGTGGGACTCTTACTGCTCGTCGTCATGATGCAGTGGCACCTCGTACAGCTCAGCGTAGTACACTCGAGATGCAATCCCATAGACGCTGCGTACGACCAGCATCTCGCATGCTGGCGCGTACTACACTCCACACCAGGTACATCGACGATGCGCGGCACGACTTCAAGCCCTCAATTCCCAGATTCACTGACTGATTAGTTACTCATTCTCAAGACACCGCCGCCACCATGCGACTCGCGACAAGACTGAGTGCACTGGCCTTGTATGCTACGACGACCGTCGTCGCCTTCTGGGATGCGGGCCACGAGACCGTCGCTGAGATTGCGACGCAGCTCTTGCCCAAGGACGATGTGGTGACGCTCAACTCCATTCTTAGCCGCTGGAATAGCCAGTTTCCCAACACGGGCGAGCTCACGACGGCGGCGATCTGGCCCGATCTGATCAAGTGCAGCTCCAAGGCGCCGTATTGCCCGTCGCCGCTGCTGCCGTCGCTCTACTGGCTCGACGAGTGGCACTACCTCGACTTGCCGCTGAACGTCAACGGCTCGGATTGGCACGGCCTCACGTCCAAGGACGGGGACAAGCTCATCGCTGCGTCGATCGGCGGCAAGGCCATCGACACGCTCAACAACGCGCTCTCGACGTTTGGGAAAACGGGCTCCAACTGGTCGGCCAACTTGATGCTGCGGTTCCTTTTGCACACGTTTGGCGACGTGCACCAGCCGCTGCACACGGTCGCCGGCATCTCGGCCGACTTTCCCAACGGCGACAACGGCGGCAACAGCTACCAGTTTGCGCAGCCATGTGCGATGGGCTCCAACCTCCACGGGATCTGGGACAGCGGCGCCAATTTGTACCCGGTCAATTGGAGCCCCAACGTCAACGACCCGAACCGGCTTGAGATTACCAAGAACGCGACGACCCTCATCGCCAAGTTCCAAGGCCAGTCCGATGCGCTCAACTTTGCCCAGTTTGCGGGGCTATCGTACCCGGACTTTCTCAAGGCGATGAAGAAGACGGGGATCCCGTCCGTTTTTTTCGAGTCCTATGACCTCGCGCGCACGGTCGTGTACAAGGGCATTGACTTGACCGTCACGAACGGCAAGGTACCGTGCCCGACGCCCGAGTACCAGGCCAAGCTCCTCTCGACGTTCGAGCAACGCGTGTACACGGCCGGCTCGCGGCTCGCGGTGATTTTGAGTCAAGTCGCCAAGCAACTCCGGTCCGCGACGCTCTTGTAAGCCGAGGACGCGAGCGTCTCAAGCCCTTAATTCCATCACATAATATCCCGTCTGTATTTCTTATCGATGCTGGTCGCTATCGCAGTCGACTCTGCAACAACCTGCGTATCCTCGAATGCGAGAGGCCTCGATGCGAGCTCGTCGTAAAGAGTAAGTCGGGAAACAAACCTGCACGATGGGCGAAACGCCATAAAAATGGGATTCGGACCGTTTATGACACCCAGGAAGTTTCCTTTTGTGCCGCCGTTTCAACTGCGATGATCCGCGATGGCAAGCCGCTGATGCCCCCCGTGTAGGCTCACCACCGCTTCCACCATATGTATGATTTGAGCTAGCGACTTTCACCCGCCGTCGCAGGTCGACGAAGGGTCCCAGCTGGCCGAGGCGACGCCGCAAATTGACTTGCCCCAGCGCATGGACGCCCCCTTGATTGTACCGTGCACCCCCTTCTCAAGCCTATTGAAGCAGTGATCCCTAGATGAACACGCCTGAGCGCCTCCCGAACATGACGCGGGACGCTCGGGTGCGGCAGCTCGTCTTCTCTGTGCGGTCCATCGCGAAGCGCAAGTACGAGCTCACGCACAGCATTCCGCTGCCGCCCGACGCGATCAATTTGGACCAGCCGCTCGAGACCGCCCACGACTCCAAGCGCCTGAAGGACTATGCGATGCTCGTACGTTCCCTCTTTTCAAAAACACCGGTAAAAAGCTAAACACGACGTTGCGATGTAGGCGGCGTCGAGCAAGCGCGCGGGGCGCACCGAAGCCGAAGCGACCGCCTACTTTGCGTACTACATTCGCGTCCTCGCATGGTTTTTTTGTGAGCAACGAACTGCAAGTAGCATGGGTATCATTCACGACAACATCGAAGAGTTGGAGCGCGCGATCGACATGTACAAGAAGGCTCTGGCGCTACTCAAGAACTCGGACAAACTGGCGTTCCAAGGCCTTGTGCACTCGTGCATTGGCGTCGACTACCAAGTATGACAGACTCGACTAGAGTGCGACGATGGACTGGAGTAGCTTCTCGCGTCGGGGCACACGGCGTACACGGGGCGGTTCCTTTCGCCCGAGAGCCCCGAGCTCCAACAAGCACTGATCTTTCATCAGAACCACCTCGACCTCAACATGGACGACGCCGGCACCTTTGTGGCGCACACCAATCTCGGCTTGACGCTCGGAAGCCTCGGACGCGTACAGTGTTCCTCGTGCTGCTGCTGTAAGCTACTTCAACTCCTCTAGTTTGCCGACGCGGCGAAACACCACCAAGAGGCCTTGCGACTCGCGATTCGACTCAACAGTGCCTATGGCCAGAGCATCGCAGTTGGTAACCTCGGGCTTCTCGCGAGTCGCCAAGTCCGTGGTTCCATCGTCCTGTCTTGAACGACTCACAAGAAGACGTAGGGCGACGTGGCAACGGCCCGCGCGTGCATGGACCAGCACCTCCAGCTCATCCAGACGGTCCAGGACCGGTCGGCCGAAGTGAACGCGTGGATGCAGCTCGGGTTTCTCGCGACGCGCGAGCTCGAACACGAAAAGGCCGCGCGGTACTTTGAACAAGCGTATCAGCTCGCAAAAGACCTCCACGAGATTGGCATGATGAAGCAAGCGAGCTGCTACCTCGGGATCGCGCGCGGCTGCGTGCACATGCACACCTGCTTTGCGCGTCTCCAGCCCAGTGCTGCTCTGTGAAGACGAGGAATGACGAACTCGGAGATTGTACATCTACCATGTAGTAACGGCAGTAGAGTGTTGGCGATTTAGTTGGCGGCGAGCTCTTGGCGCAACGCATCAATGCGCTTGAGGTGCGTGTCGTTGATGGCGCCGACGATCTGCTTGCGTACGATACGCACGTCGTCGTCGCCGCGGATCGACGCATCGAGGTACCCAAGCACCTACAACACAAAAGAGAGATTTGTGAGTTTATTGAGGCCTCCAGAGCGGCAGAAAAGTACGGCTTCAAACTCGAATTCGAGGCCGCCCGCGCGCTGTTCGAGCTGCGCCTTGGTGGGCCGCGACGTCGTTCGGCGTGGTGGCGCAATATCATCACCTTCGTCGCGGTCGAGACGCTCGAGCTCTGCGTCGACATCGAACGAGTCCCATTTTGTCTTGAGCTTCTTTCCTGTCGAGTCGAAATGGTAATCTAAGGGCGACATGAGAGGACGTTAGATGATCGGTAGTACAAGAATTCAGGCTGCCATCGTCTACGGCAGCTTCCTCGGCCTGCGGTGCTAGGAATTCCCTAACGTCAACTTCGAGCGCGTCGAGCTTGACGCGCACGGCGTCGACGATGGCCTGCACTTCATCGAGTAGCTGCAGTGCCTTCTTCTTCTGCTGAACATGCCTAGACCATGAGCGCATGAGTTTTGGCTCATGCAGGAGCAGCAGCTAGTCGCTGTCGCGTACGCTGGCTCGGTCGTCGCCCGGTACACGACGTAGGAGAGGGCAACGATGCTGGCGACGACGGCCGGGAGGTGCCACCACGGACTCGGACTCGGTCGCATGGCTGCGCAAAATGGCCCGGCTAAAGCGACGCCAATCACACGGACCAATCAGCGTTTCGAATGCCGGGCCAAAGACGCGCATTTCAACCAATGGAACGTCGATGCGTCATGGACGCGCCACGTCATACACATCGACCTTGGCTCGCGTCAACATTGACGGCGTGACAGAAGCGCTCGGCAGCGTTGGCAACACGGTTGCGTCCGCCTCTTGCGGCGCTTGCTGCCAATGCGGACAGACGTCTTGGACAGTCGTGGTGGACACGCAGGACGTCGCAGCATGACGATGCCACCTTGGTCATCCCCTTGCAACGACGACTTGCGTTAAAGTAGCTTTGGCATGATGCAGGAACACAGGGGTCGACATCAAGAGTTTATATGAGGTCGCGCGATACGGGTCATTATCGGGATCGGGCACCAGGCGAGGTGTCTTGCCCGCTTACCTGTGCGGCTGCCGACAACCTGTTTCTGGGTGCACCTCACATGCGCCGCAGGTATCAGTGAAGAAGTGAGGATACGTTACTAGTAGCTGCTGCTCGTCCCGAGCCCCGCTCTCTGCGGTGGATCGCTTGCAAGCAATGACGTGTGCAGCAGCTTCACGGTCCATGATGACCTTGCCAGCCCTTGTGTTCGCGCGCACTTGAAGTTCTAGAACATTGGAGAAGCTCCGATCTCGTTTTTTGTGGCGAGTCGCGAAATAAAATGACGGAAAATGATATGCACATAGTAATATTAAATGAATGGAGGCACTGCTTGTATTTTATTTGCCGTGAGCTTTTTATCGCACCGTTTGTGGGGCCCATTTTCCGAAAAAGATATTTCCCCCAGAGGACGCCAAGCATGTCGATCAAGCTCTTCATCAAGAACGAGGTAGACGCCCATGATGCCATGGCGCTAGAAGGTCTCATGCGCATGCTGGTGCGGCTACTGTAGATCCACTCGATCCAGCTCCAGTTTGACGTGAATGACAGCATTGCCGCCGTCAAGGTGCGTCGACCGATGCCCATCATGCGACTTATCGCCGCGTAGGCTGCATACCAGAAGAGCGGCAAGGTGCAAGGCCGTTTGGACTACATTGTGCTGCTCCACCGTGGCAAGGAGCTCCAGGACGAGAAGTCGATCGCCGAGCATGGCATCAACGACGGCGCGATCTTGGTCCACATTGAGACCTTGCACGAGCCGTTCCGGCCCGTCAACTACGCGGTCCTCGCCGATGCCATCAAGCAGCGTCACTTGCACGAGCAAGCCAACCTCAAAATGATGCAGCAAGGTAAGCAAGCCCATGCTTGCCTCGCACTCAGCATTATCCTGCATAGACAATATTTGGGCTGCTGGCGAAGGCAAGACCCGCAAGCAGACGAGTGGGTGCACATCTTGATGTAGATGGCACGATGCATCATTTGGGCTTTGACAAGAGCATCATCTCGCGGTCGTCGCCAAAGAACACGCCGTTGCCGCGCCAGAAGAGTATGTCATCCTCCTCCACTGCGATGACTTACGCTTGTTGCTCAGGCTCGGGCCGCACGTTCTTCAACCAAGTGTCGGTGCTCGTTAACGGCTGCAGCTACCACGTCTTGCCAAGGTATCGGCATAGCATAACGTGGCCCGACGCTCAATCGTGCGTAGCATGGAAGGTCGCTGGAACGGCGAGCTCGAGTCGATTCCGTCGCAGGACGAAGGCACGCAAGTGTGCTCGTGCGAACTCACGTTCCGCGAGGAAGGTACGAAGAAGGGTCGTCCATCACCGCAAGCTCATGTGCCCAGAAGGCGTGTGGAACCTGCGCCAGATGCGCACGTCCATCAGCGGTCTCACGACGACCCAGCACTTGTGGATCAAGCCTGCGGCCGACGGCGTCCTCAAGGTAACGTTTGGGTCTCTCGTGCATTATGACTGAGTATCATGGCGCTAGCTTGAGACGGACGATCCGTCGTTGCGCGGCAGCGACATTACGATGCGCGAAGTGGGCGCCAACATTTTGATCATCACGGCCACCTCCAAGCGCACGGGTACCTGCCTCAACCTCTTCTCTGCATCGCATCATGTGTGCGGATAGGCCGCCCCGTCATGGTGGAGACCATCACGTCCATCGACAGCACCCGCCGCCTTCGCACGGTCCAGCGCTTTGACGAGACGGGCGGCTTCCGCTTTGTCTACGTCATGAACGAACGACGGTACGAACATCCACGTCGCGGACGTGGACGGCTCATGCCAGAGGGTAGGGTCGTTGACGCCGTCTCGGGGGCCATGGAGCGCTACGACCCCAACTTTTAAGACCGTAGCTTCCTTTGCGTGGGAATAAGAGCCAAACAAAGAAATCCAGTGTGTTGATACGATGCTACGTGCGGGCCATGACGTGCGACTTGATGTCGTTAATGTAGTTCATGCTGTAGCTGCCACGCCGGCGCAGCTCGCTGCGGAACGACGTGGGCACGATCGGCGTCGGGTTGCTCGCGTCGTTCTTCTGGCTCTCGCCTCGCTCGTGGGTTGCAATCGCGAGCAGCGGGAGCAAGAGGAGCAGGTACAGCCCCGCGAGCACAAGCAGGCCCGCAACCACGTAGCCCTTGTGGGGCATGGGCAGGCTGTACACCTCGAGCGCGAACATGCGGATGTGCAGGCCGAGGTCAATGCGCCCGCCGAGGTAGCCAAAGCTCACGAGGACGAGGGCCACGAGCGGGTTGATCATCGCTCGCCGTTGCTGTCTGGCCGCTTATCCGGATTCCACGCGTAACCGTACGCCAATTCCTAATCGCAATTATATTGTTGAGAAATTTAAATTGCTTGTGGATCGACCCGCGCTTCGATTACAGTGCAGGGCGCATCGACCAACTCACAACGAACGCCAAGCGAATCCTGCACCAGAACAACTCGAACAAGTAAGAAATAGAGCGCAAGGATGGGTTCGATCCCCATGTTGATTGCTTTCTACACGCGCTCCTTCTGTACAGGGGTCTGTCTACAAGGTCCAGACGAGGTAGACGTTGCAGATGACGTACACGACGAGGAGCGCAATGCCGTCGCGGGGGCTCAGGCCGATGAAGAAGCCCTTGGATTTCGTGCAGCACGCGCAAATGACGCCGCGAAAGTTGAGCACCAAGTAGGTGAAAATGATGGCCGCGAGCCACTTCCAGAGCACCGACTCGTTCTGGAACGGCAGCGCAATCTAATAGCATCCCAATGCGTTGGACCAGATTCCAGAAACAGTCCTTGGAGTGTGTACCGTGCCGTGGAGGAAGTTGTACATGAGCCACGGAAAGCCGCTGCCGAGCGTGACGTTGATGACTTGGGACCCGACCGCGTTGCAGACGGCCGCGTCCGCGTGCCCCGCACGGGCCAGCGCGACCGACGCGATCGCATCCGGGATCTGCGCGCCAAGCGCAAGCAGCGTGACGCCGGCAACGGCCGTCGAGAGGTGCAAGCTCGTGCTCAGAATGCGCGTGAGGAGGAGCGCGCCGGCCGAGAAGAGCGCGACGTACGTGATCGAGAGCACGAGCGTGAGCGGGTAGTACGCCCGCGTCGGCGACTCGACGTTGCACTCGGGCAGCGTGTACGCAAAGAGGATGCGGTACGGGCGCGACGCGAGGTCCACGACTTGGAGCAGCGCTTCGACGACGCAGTTGGTCGACGCGGCTACAGGTCACGAGGTAACTCCTCTTCTACGTAGAGATAGAGATGCGTACGAGTCGTCTCGTCGGTCGTCATGTCGGTGGTGCCGTACGTCGTTGGCAAGAGCGGGTGCGCCGGGTGCAGTGCTTGGTCGAGCATGTGGGCGTCCTTGCCCGCCGGCGTCGTAAAGTTGTGGGCGTCGTCGCCCTCCATGGGATGCTGCGCGCGGATCCAAATGGGCACAAAGATCGCGAGCATGTACAGCACGTAGATGCTACAGAGAAGCGCCGAGTTCCACGCCGAGACGACCGAGTCGACCATGATGTAGACGAGCGCGCCGAGGCTGAAGATGTACGCGAGCGAGTCGCGCACGACGGGGCCCCACGAGACAGCGAGCGGCGTCGGCGACACGAGCGCGCAGAGCGCGGGGATGAGCGCAAAGGCGATGATGGCCGAGCCCTGGATCGCCGACAAGCTCGACTCCATCGACTCGATCTGGCCCTCGGCGGTTGCGACCGCGTTGAGGAGGATCTCGGGCGCCGCGCTGCCAAAGGCGAGGAAGCTTGCGCCCGCGGCCTCTTCCGGGATCTTGAGCTTCTCGCAGAGCGTCTCGATCGCCGGCACGAGGTAGTCGTCGCACACGATCGCGAGGCCGAGGAAGATGTAGAGGAGGCCGGCGATCGAAAGGGCGGCGTCCCAGCCCGAGTAAGTAGCAGCCTCGGAAGCGGGCGAGAGCGTTGCGTTGGTGGTCTGCGCAGAGACGGCGGCGGCCAAGGCGGCGACGGCGAGGACGCGGCGAAGCATCCGACTCGCTGGTTGTGGGGTGATTGCCAAAGTGATTTCGAAATTGTCTCGCGTTTTAACCGGATGATGCAAGAATGCACTTTATTTTCCGGACGTGAGCCAAGATTCACGGGGCCTCCCCCTTTCCACACGGACCCCAAGAGCACTTTCTTTTCGAAGTGGGGGCACCCAAAACACCCGATATTGTGTAGGTCCCGTGTAGGGGTCCCACTGCAATGCAGCCGTGACGCGGCCTGATCCAAACGCCCGCACCGTCGACCGTGCTGCCACAAGCTGCGTCAACTTGTGCACAGCGTTGATGACCACGCATCGTACCTGGTACGGGCTAGGGCAAGGTGTACGAGCCGACTCTTCGCATGTCTTCGCTAGTACCGTGCACGATGCAGATGCGACGAGGACCTTCCTGAAGGTGGAGCAGCGACGAGCTCGAGCGACTTGATATTACCAAGGCCATGATTTTACGGCCTTGATAATACGTATCACCTCAAGAAGTCTAGCATTTGCATTGGATTACAAACTTGCTACTATCAAATGGCTGGCTGCATGCTTAGAGCTTGGCGCGCTGGACTTTGGCGCGGAGCGGCGCCAAATAGGCCGAGAGTGACACGGTCGAGTCGTTGGGGAACGCGCGGCTCGCGGCCATGAGCGACTCGTACACGTTGCCGTCGTAGCGCCCGAGGTTCGAGTTGAGGCTCAGATCTGAGAACCCAAACGCATCGACGAGGCCCACGGCGTGGGGTCGGATCGCCGAGAGGAGACGCACTTGGTGGGCATCGAAGGCTGCGGCCGACGGAAGGGGCAGGCAGCCGTGCACCAAAAAGTCGCTCAAGTCTTCGAGCACTTGCGAGACGCAAAAGAGCGCAAATATATCGTTCAGAATCGCCAGCGTCGGCGGCGACAGCGCAGCATCGCGGAGCTGCGCGGCAAACTCGCGCACGAGCACGTACTTGCCAAAGCACTAGGCGGCACCATGAGCGAAGCATATTCTCCACTGCAAGGACTACCATGGACAGGTGGTGCGACGCAATCAAGTTGGCTTGGATCGCTTCTTCGAGCGACGGGTACGCGGCCGCCGTCGTCTCCATCGTGGCCAGCACCGAGAGCAAGCGACGCTCAAAGAGCGCGACCAAATCGGCCGGCGCAGCGTCCGTAGCTTGCGGTGGCGTCGCATCAATGCGTGCGAAAAACTACGCCGAAGGAGCCCATGAAGGCGATACATATCGTCTGCATACCTGCAGCTGGGGCGGAAGGGCCGGTGTCATTCCGCTGCGATGCACGGCAAGCATCTTGAGGAGCGTCTTGGTCGTCTGTCCAGACCACGACGAGTCAGAGAGAGTGCAATGAGGTCGACACCTGCTGCGAAATGACATAGTTTTCGCCCTCGGCGGTCACAAACTGCGCATTGTACGCGACAAGCTCCTGCGATCGGTGGGATCAACACACGTGTGCGCTTGCCATCATGCTGCTGCGTACCGGGAGCCCTGCGAACGATGAGTCCTTATGCATGTTGGTGGATGGTGAAATGTACCGCTCGTTTGGAGATACCCGTGGCCGCCACAACCCTAATGCGCAAGAGACATAAGGAAAACTCTCGAGAGCGGAACGCACCCGGCGGCAGAACTCGATACCGCGCGTCGAGAGCTCGGACGCAAATACTTTGACGGCGCAGCCCGTGGCATGGGCCAGGGCGAGGACACCGGCGTCGGTGCGGCCTTTGGCAACCATCTCGGTCGCCGAGTGCGAGAAGCTCAAGAGGCGGTTGCCTACATGTAGCGGTGAGCGAGGGTTGACTTGGCGTGAACAAGCGTAGTCGTACTTGCGATAATGATCGCGTACGCTTCGGCCAAGCGGGGCAAGAGACGGTGCTGCTGCGACTGGTAGTCGAGCACCTAGTACAGCGACATGTCATTGGGCCCTCGACCGTCGCACGAGCAACGTACTTGCATCTCTTCGCAGCGCTTGGTCGCATTGGCACCCTGCGCGCGCACCGCGCTGTAGCGCACGGCGATGGTCGCCGCTTTTGAGAGCTGTCTGCCGCTGCCAATGATCATGTTGTAGCGCATCTGGAGCATCGTGATGTACGAGAGCTCCGGCTTGGCGCCAGACACACTAAGCGTATTTTACATCCTGCGACAGCAGCATGGCAAGAAACCGAGAGTAGACGCCGTCCTTGCTCAGCGTTTGAAACTTCATGGCCATGTGCGTGCGCGGAATCAAGACCTTGTCGAATTGGACAAAGCCGTTGTCGACCGTGTTGAAGCCAAACTTGCCTAGACGACGACATGGTCCAAGGTTTTTCCAGAGAGATCATTGTACTGCCAATGCCGCCGAGCGTCACACCGGGCAGTGGCGCGTGCGTCGCAAAGTCGCGGAGCTGCACGAGGAACGGAAGCACGCCATGGTCTTTCCCGCGCACGAGCAGGCGCGCGTACACGACACCAATGTTGGCCGTGTTGGCGAGGCCGCCCGGCCAGTACTTGATGGACGTGAGCGTCGGCGAGTGAATTTCCAGCATATCGATGTCCTCTCGGAACGTCGCAGTCGTCTCGAGCGCGCGCAGGTTGGAGCCGTGTCCAAGCTCGGTCTGGATGTAGCAGCCGAGCCACGTGTACGACGCGATGGCCTCTGCCCACTGCGCTTGCTGCGCGTTGCTAAAGAGGCTCGCGATGTTGGGCAGAAACATGGCTTCGTGGAGCAGCGTCGGCGACGCGAGGCCCGTCATGTCCTGTAGTGTACGTACATGGCATGAGCTTCCGAGGCGCATGCATATATCATCAGGACCTGCGCCAGCGATCGAAGCAGCTTGGCTTCGTCGACAGAAAGCTGCTTGTCCAGAATCGTCTCTTCGACATGGCGGTAGACGCGGAAGACGCGGGCGCGCTGCGCTTCGGCCGACTCGCCGTAGTGGCGCTGGCACTCGTCAAAGCTCAGGCTTGGCTCCAGGAGCGACCGAAGGTACTCGTACGAGCGGCGCCGTTCCTTCCCGCCGTAGAAGAGGACGTTCTCGAGGAGCTCCGTCGGCAGCGTCGGCGGGCTCTGCTGGCGCTCCTTGGTCAAGAAGGCAGACAACGATGACATGCTATTGACCTCAGGCAGCGGATTTGGATTTGCGCTCAACTTGCAGTCGCGCACCGTATCCGGATATATTACGCAAGATCAGACACAGCGCGCTCTCGTCAAGAATATGAATATCAAAGGGGTTTGGCACCCCACGCAGGCTCAACTCGCGGCGTAGTTATGACACTGGCTAGGCGCGATGCAGCATCCAACGCCAAATAAAGCAAAGACGCGATGAAGCTACCCATGCGGCGTGCAATATTGGCGATGCGTTCCTGCTCGTCACGTGCCGCAATACACAATATTCGCGGGCGGCCCATTAACGTTGATGATGCAATTCTGACGTATAACTCATTTCGACAAATCGACAGCATCACTGTGCACAACGAGAGCTCAACCATTGTACAAGCAGAGCTCTATGCATAAACTAGGGTACGCCGCCGTGTCGACTACGTAGTGCACTAGTACTGAAATATGGTCCCAGCGTGGAAGGGTTAATGATTGATAGATAGCTGAAGTGCATAGTTCTCTCCATTCTCTCCGCGCGCGTAGACGTGGTTGAACTACATATAAGTATACTAGGATCTTCTTGGTCTAGAATACCGTAAACACATCCGAAATGTTGGAAGTGTTTTAACATTTCCAACGAGTCAAGAAGGCAGGAATCTCGTCGACATCTTTTAGTCTAGCGGTATAGACACTGGTTTACCACCAGGTAGATCCTGGTTCGAGGCCCGGAGAGAGCCCCACTTTCTGATTCAACGCGAGGCTGTGAGCCGCAACCTTCGACGATGGCGCTAGAAATCAAGTCGAGAAGTCTCTCGATGCAAGCGGGGCCGTAGTCACTGCGCCGTCGTCGCCGTCGTCGTGTGTGAACCAAAGACCGCTTGCACCGAGAGATTTCTCACAAGCGGGGCCGTAGTCACTGGGCCGTCGTCGCCGTTATCGTGTGTGAACCAAAGAGATGATGATTCATTGGGGCGTTAGACCATCGGAATGACCGGACTGCTTGGTTGACGGAGGGACTCGATCGCTATTGACTTGTCGAATGGCTTGTTGTTTTCTTCAACTCGGGATGGCGTGGGTGCGTAATATCAAGTCTGGCTCGTGCACTTGATAATTTTCAACCGGTTCGGCTTCCCGCCAATTGATGGCCGTTCAACGAATTCGACCCTGTGATATTCGATATTGCGGGCCGCAGAAATATATGCGTTTAGAAAGGTTATCGGCCAAGCGTATTTTAATGAAAGCGCCAAAGATCGTGCACTTGGAGTTTGTGGGAATAAAATAAATTCGTACCAAATTCATGGCATTTCTCAATAACGCATCAACAAGCGTAAGCTCGCGCCGAACCCGCGATGGAAGCCCTTGGCGATCTCTCGGACCTGCTGCCGACGGCCCTGAGCAGCATGACGTCCCCGGTCCATGCGCCTGCGGGAACTACCTCCCATGGACCCATGGAGGTCGCGGACGACGACGATGCCATGGACGACGACGACGTCGTGCCGGTCGATGCACCCGCGGCCAAGGAAGACGAGTACATTCCCGACATCTCGCAGTGGAGCTCGGACGAGGAAGAGGAAGTGGACGAAGAGGAGGAGAACCCAAAGGCGCCCAAGTCGCGCCGGAAGAAGCGTCTCCATGACATTCTTGAAGAAGACGAGCTTGACGACGAGACCATCATGGCCCGCGAGATGGAGAAGGAGCGCATGAAGCGCTTCCGCGCAGAAGAGTCGAACGACAAGCCCGACTTTGGATGGACCGCCGACGGGAAGCTGTGCATCAACCCACTGGAAGACGGGTCAATCCCAACTGGCAAGATTGGTGAAGACAACGAACCGATCTTGATCCACCCCGACATCTCCAAGGCGCTCAAGCCTCACCAGATCAAGGGCGTGCGATTCTTGTGGAGCCACATCTCGATCGGTCCCAAGGTAGAAATCTGCTTTGAAGGCGATGTCGACTGCAACTTCAATGTCATTAGGGCTTTGGCTGCATTCTCGCGGACTTTATGGGTCTGGGCAAGACGCTACAGGTCGTCGCGACCGTGCATACGTTCCTCAACGCGATGGTTATGGAGGACGGCGTCAGCGTCGCCAAATACAACTCGGCGTTGATCCTCGCGCCCGCGATTTGCGTGCGCAACTGGGAAGCGGAATTCAAGAAGTGGCTGTCGCCGCGCGACGTTCGCCGCATGGGTCTCACGACGCTCGAGTCGGACAAGAACATGCAGGAGCGCGTCGACACGATCCTCCAGTGGCAGCAACATGGCGGGTACGATCGTCTTGCACTCGTACGTTTTGATCTAAGTATGACATAGCGTTATTATCATGGGCTACGAAATGTACCGTGGGCTTGTCTTGCAAGCAACTGGCGAAGAGAAAGCCAAGACGAACAAGTACACGCTACGTCTCCAAAACCAGCTCAAGGATGCCTACGAAGCGCTCTGCGCCCCGGGACCCGACCTCATCGTGCTCGACGAGGGTCATCGCATCCGTGACGCCAAGTCCAAGCTCGTGCGCGCCCTTACTCATGTAGGAGCATGCTTTATACCAGGCTTGAGTCTCACGCGTCCCAGGTCGAGACGAAGCGCCGCATCATTCTCACGGGGTACCCCCTCCAGAACCACCTGATGGAGTACTGGACCATGGTCAACTTTGCACGTCCAAACTTTCTTGGTTCCCAAGCCGAATTTAAGAACCGGTTCGTGTTCCCGATTGAGAACGGCGGCTTCGAAGACAGTACGCCCGAGGACATGGCGCTGAGCCGAAAGCGAACGTACGTGCTCACAAGGGAGCTCGGCCCGCTCGTGCTTCGACGCGACGCCTCGTACCTGCATGCGCAGCTCCCGCCCAAGCACGAATACGTCATGCTGTGCAAGCTCTCGACGCTTCAGATCCAGATCTACAAGGCGTTTCTCCGCGAAGGCGTCCCGAAGGGCTCAAAGCTCAAGCAAGTCGATGTGCTCGGTGGCTATCATATTACACTCGCGATTTCCAACCACCCAGACGTCGTCTACAACTCGATGAAGCAGCTCAACGACGGAAACGCCAAGGACGCGGCGCCCAGCGCGGCGGCGACGCCATCGACACTTGACGACGGGGTTTGAACAACATTAACCTCTGCGATACATGTTTCAAGTCCATGCATAGGGTGACGACAGTGACATTGAAGCCATGGAAGCCATCACGCGCACGATGGAGCATCGCTTGAGCTTTGCGGAACCGCTCTTGCCGCCGACGTATGTGACGGGCATTGCGGAGAACTCGGGGAAGATGCTCATGCTTCTCCACATTTTGCGCGCGTGCCGTGAGATTGGCGATCGCGTCACGGTGTTTACGCAGAGCATCACGTCCATGAACGTGATCGAGTCGATGCTCAGCGAGTACAACGCCAAGAAGAAGACGTTCGACAAGATCCACTCGATTCGTATCGATGGTAGCACGTCGCAGCAACTGCGCTTCCAACGCATCTCCATGTTCAACGACCCGTGCGAAGAAGTTGACGTCATCTTGATCTCGACCAAAGCCGGCGGCGAAGGTGTCAATCTCTGTGGCGGCAACCGCGTCGTCATCTTTGACGTGTGCTGGAACCCGTGCCACGACGCTCAGTCGATGTGTCGGTCGTACCGCTTCGGGCAGCTGAAGCCGGTGTATGTTTACCGACTTATCGCTGCTGGCACGATGGAGAAGAAGGTGTATGACCTCCAAGTGCGCAAGGAAGGCGTGAGCAAGCGCGTCGTGGACAACACAGCGCTTGAGCGCAAGTTCCACCGCGACGACATCAAAAAGTACTTTTGCATCCAAGAGTTCAAGAAGGCCCAACAACAGACGGCGTCGGTGGACCCGGACGAAGTCATGGCCAAGATGAAGCACCACGCGACGAAGGACGCGGTGCTGCAGGGCCTCCTGGACGAAAAGTCCCAGTGGTTGGTACGTTACTACTTGACACTGCCGACATGCATCGTAATGTGCTCTATTAGGTCGACTGCTACGAGCAGGAGACGATGTTTGAGGAAAACTTAAACGAGCGCATCTCGGAAATCGAGCAAGAAGAAGCGCTGCGCCAGTTTGCGATGGAGAAAGCGTGCCGAGATATCGTCGGCTACTCGCTCGGTGACTCACACCTCAAGGTCGCCCTCTGCCCACAGTGCAACCATTCAAACGACATTACTGGCGTCGAAGCGGTACGACTCGTTGGCAGACGCGGTAGTTTTGCTCATGACTGATGTGTAGGATGTGTCGTCGATCATCTGCGCCGAGTGCGAAACCCCGATCGACGTTTCTGACGCCAACAACGTCGTCACGGTGAACCGCGCGACGCACGACGCCGTCTCGGCGAGTGCACGCGTGTCGGCACCCATGTTTCCCGACGTCTTCAACAGCCATATGCCGACTCCGCAAGTAAACCCGGAACTGCAAGGTTTGCTCGCGCATGTGTATCGAACATGACCCTCATGAGTGAATAATTAGCGCAACTCATGCTGTTGCGCGCACAGAACGCACTGAATGGTACGCCGCACATTATGACTGTGTGTTTGCTGGGCAGCTATTGATTTCTTCTTGTAGCGCAACAAGCTAATCAAAATTTGCAGGCGGCAGCGATGTTGGCTTTCCAAGGTACACGATCTATAGTTGGCCTCTCCTGGACGCGAACTTTTCTCTAGGTGGCGCGCGCGCATTGCCAGCGACGTTGCAGAGTGTTGCCGCCCCCATTGCCACCCAAGCGGTTCCTCTGCAGCGACGAATCCTCTTTTTGCGGAAAGGCCTCAACCGCGACGTTGTCGATACGCTGAAGAACCAAGCGTCCGCCGTCTTGAAGTGCCACTTTGATGTCGAGTTGTTGCCGTCAACAACCGACGTTGTCTCGGCCTTGCCGCTCCCCAACGTGCTGAGCTGGCTGCGAGTTCCAGGTCTTCCGTCCAACACAACGTATCGCAGCGTCGAGTGGCTCCAAGACGAAATCAAGAAATCCCAGAGCACCGACCGTGCGCAATAAAGTAGACTCAATGACCACAATTTTATCACGACGCTTTGCTGCATTATTCCTTGCTGGCCGCGGCCAACGCGCGGACGCGGTCCAGGTCTTTCTGCAGCTTTTCGTTACCGCCATCGAGCGCAAGACCGTCGGCAAAGTCCGCTTCAGCTACCCACACAACGTGTCCTTCACATGCTGTGAATGGCGACGCACCTTTGTCGTAGTTGTGCAGCGCCGCCTGCGCCGTGCCCCGGCGAACGAGTGTCTTGAGAACCCACTCGCGCCGCTTGCTGGAGCCTGGTGGCGGAATCGCAGAGAGTGCGATCGGTGACCCGCGCACATCAGGCGCGACGACTTGCTACGCGGCAGTATTATCTCAGCGCCTGTTCCTGGGGCCTTTCGTACTTGGAGGAGGGCAAGCGCTTCGGTGCAGTCGAGCACGCAGCTCGCCGCGTCCAGAAGCGCGAGGTGGCACGCCGCTCGGTTCGAGAGGCATCTACTTCCATGTGGTTATAACCCTTCTCCAAGGCGCACGAGCGTACGCGACAAAGGTCGGGTCAATCGCCAGCGCGGCCGTATACAAGTCGCGCGCGCTCGTCAAGTCTTGCGCGGCAAAGGCCAAGTCGCCGCGCTGCTTGACCTTGTAGCACTCGTCGAGGCGCGAAATCCTCGCAAAGTCGATTTGCAGCGCTTCGTTCTCGGGGTGCATGCTCAGCGCGACGCCATAGTCCGCCTTGGCTTGACTACATGTCACGTCAGACAGGAGATCTCGATATTTGTCCGACGACCTGTAGTAGCCCAGCTGCGCGTAGGCCGTGCCTCGACGCACGAGCACACGAACCTTGAGCCGGTGGGTGCCGCAGGGGTCGGACGAGGTGGCGCCGTTGTCGGGCAGCTGGGCGAGCGCAGCGCTGCAGTCGTCGGCGCAGAGCTACACGGATGTGCGCGACAGCAAACTGGATGTGCGTCGTATTACCTGGTAGGCGCCCAAGTGCAGGTGGCAGGCGGCGCGGTTCGAGAGACACCTGCAAGCAGACACTGAGAGATCGTCGCAAAATGAAGCTCTGGAGGTACGCAGTCAAGGTCCCGTCCACGGCGAGCGCTTCCGAGTAGGCGTTGCGCGCGCTCTGAAAGTCGCGGTGGTGGTAAAAGTCGTCGGCCTTGGCCTTGAGCCACACGGCTACACAAGATGATACCATCATCATCACCCGTGTTCAGCTACAACGTACGATCGGTCTCGCTGATATCTTGGGCGTAATTCGCGTTGAGGCCCTTGTGCGACTTGAGATGCTTGCGGTTCTTGACGAGCCAATCTTCCTCGTCCGCTAAGATCATAGTGCTTTGTATGGAATTGCCTGGTTGTCGAGAGCGGTACCGGCCGTCGACTCGCGGCTCGGCGTTGGAAACACGCGCGGCGTAAAGCTGATGGTGGACTGCAGCGTCTCGCGCGGAGCGGGAACGTACACCACATCGCTCTCGTCGTCCTCGTCGTTGACGTCGTTGTTGCTGCTGATGCCATATTCTTGAACAGGGGGCGGCGGAGTTGGCAAGGGCGCCACGTCGGTCTCGGACTCGGTGTCGCTCCACTCAATCTCGTCGTTGTTGGAAACGTCAAAGGTCCCGTCGGTAGACGCCTCGAGGATCGGCTCCATCGGCGGCTTGACGATCGCTCGCTTGGGCGCTGATGGCGCTTTGAGCTCCTCGAAGGTGCGGTACATGGCTGTCTACAATCATTCCAATATGAGGGAGCTGGAGGCATCCATCTATCTATGCCTCTTCGCGCTGCTTTTCGTCGGCCTTGATGTCGTCGAGGCGCTGCCGCTCGTGCTCTTCCAGCGCCATCTAATGGTATCCATGTCTGTGAATTGCATGCACTTGATCGTAAGAGCCGACTTGATCCCGGAGCGTCTTCTTCTCCGTCGCGTACTTGGCATCCTTTCGCTTCTCGGCCAACTACGCTCGCCTTCGTGCACATATTCTTGCATGAGCAGCAGCGTACCTGCTGTTCCATCTCGGTCTTGCGGTCCATGGACGCCTGTCGCCGCGCTAGAATGTCGGCTTTGGAGCCAGAAAAGACGAGCTCCTTCCACATGTCTGGCGTGCTCTGACGCCGACCCATGAGACCTTGAAATGAACGCGATGCTATCTGTGTACCTTGGCGACGGTCAAGTGAATGACGCCGTCGAGCATCTTGACGACCGCGCTCGTCGGCTCAATATGCGCGACGACGTCCAGGAGCAGTACATACGGCTTAAAGTTGATCTTGACCACCGCGTCCGCGACTAGACACACGCATGATGGCTGGCCGATGGGGTCGTCGTACCGTAAAAGTCGACGTCCTTGCGGCTGGCGCCCTTGAGCGGCACGGTCAGCGAGAGGTGCGTCGCGGTCTGGGTCCACTCGTACTGCGGCGTCAATGGCATGCTTGTCGGTCTCGGTCTCGGCGGATCTTGCAGTGGCGCAAACCTTCCTTTAAAGATCGCAGCATCGGCGATGCCATTGGCCAAAATCATTGTATTTTCCTCGAATGGCATGCGGTTTAAAAAGCGTCGCGCTATCTGTTGTCTATTGTTAAGAAACCACCCAACGATGGAAGCGACGCTGCGGCGCGCCGTCAACGAGTTCTTCTTCCGAGACACGTGGTCGCCCGCGACGTACGTGACGTTCGCCGTCGTTTTAGTAAGCACGTTTTTCGTCTCGAGTGGCCTCTCGCGGCTTCTTTTTAACCTTGTCGACGCCAAGCTCCAGCGCGACGAAGCCAACCGCGCCGCAATTCACACGGTAATTACGCTTGGAGTTGGTATGGAAAGGCTTTGAATTGGTAGATGCCGGACGCCTCGTCTTCCGAGAGTGACGAGACCTCGGACAGTGGATCGTCCGACTCGAGCCAAGACGACAGCGACGACGAGGAGGACGACGACGACGAGCCATCGGTGTTTTCGCCCGTCAAGATTGCAGTGCCACCGCTGATCGAGATTGATGCGACTGTTTTCGACGTGCGCGATGTGGAGCATCTCAAAACGTTGTGAAAGTGTCAAGTCTTGCGTTCCAAGTGTTGCGTGCTCATCGCAACACCGTGGTAGAGATGGGTCGTAGGTCGACCATCCCAACGGAACTGGACAGCGACGTGCACTCGCATTGAAAAGGCGGAAAGCAAAGCGGTTCGGGCGAATGCTACGGAATCAAACCTTCAGTTCGTTGATCTTCTGGCGGATCAGGGCGATTCTTGCGGCTGGAGCTGTCCTGCGTATGGCGAAGAGTGGCTGGGCTAAATGGACGAGAATACGTTTATGAGCGGCATTAATACGCACCAGTGGAAGACGCCCGAGATCTTTAAAATCCGCGACTACCACGTACTCGACAGTGGCCGATGTCGACTCGATTCGGACGACTGCACTTGGTACGGTTGGGTTTGAAACTAGGGCTAGGGGTGTTGCTCTCCGAGCACTCAACGCACCAGATGCCGTAAGGCAACAGAATGAACCCACAACAAGCCGATGAACCAGCGATGTGGTGTGGCTCAAGTCATGGCGGCGGAGCTTACGCCAACGTTCGATACAAGAACGATACCGTCGTGTGCAGCGGACCTCGCCACCAAGTGCCTCGCGTTGGATCCAAAAACGATCTCCAGACGTAAAATACACAGCGTTTCTTGCGACCTTCAAGTCATCTAGAAAGCTCTGGACTATGGCTTTGTGTTGTGTCTTTCGCACCAACAATCGTTGCGATAGGGATACCGAGGTTGGGGACCAAGCATCATAATCGCGCTCGGCACCGATCAAGAGCGTGTACTTGCTTGTGCTCACGTGCACTTTGCTTGGCACCGATCGCCAGCTCCAGCTAAGCGAATAGTACATGGGTTCTGCTGCGCTTTAAAGCCCATGATGTCTCTTCCTTTCAGACGACGGCCTTCATTTATGGCACCATCGATGCTCTGAAAGTGGCTTCCAGACGTACGCTTCTGCGCACAGATACCGTTGTGCCTGCAACCTTAAAGTCCAGGCGTTGGAGGGGTAGTGGCTTACCCCACCAACGCCTGAACTTACGTCAATTCATGTACATCAATGGGGCTAAGAATAGACTTAGAAACCCCACATTGAATCGCGCACGTCCAGCATGGACGGGCTTGGGCTTGGCGCATGTCGTCGGGCGACAACCGCCGCCCGGCGTGCGACGACCGCTGACGGCCACCACGTGCGCTACTGCATGCCTAGCTCATCCTTTCACGTACGAATTTGCTAGGAAAACATCAAGAAGGGCGTCGCGACGTACGATCACGAGCAGCGACAGCAGTCGCGCCGGGCAACCTTGGGCCTGGCCCCCGACTCGCGGACGCTTCAGGCCAAGCTCGATGCACTCTCCAAGCAAGCGGTCTCCAACCGCCTCAAGGTCGGCGAGATCAACGACCGCGTCGGGCGCATCCTTGAAGAGTTTGACGACGCAACGACAGACGCCATGCTGCCGTACGACCGCCTTTCCATTGATGCGCTGCCATCGAGCCAGGTACGCTCTCTTGCCTTCTTGTCGACCTCAACACAACTTTGGGCGACAGGCAAGCCACATATTGGAGTCAATGCGGGCGTCGCTGCATTGCGCCGTCATGGCGGAAGCAGAGACCCTCGAAGACGTTCCTACAGAAGACACGACGATGATTCCGTCGACAACCGACTTTATTGATGACGTCCTCGACTCGTCCCGTCTTCAGCAGCGCCGGTTGACGACAACAGCGCTGCAACTGACCAAGCTCACAGGTCTCCAGCGCGCCGAGCTCGAGGAAAAAATTGCATCCCTGGAAGGCGCGCTCTCGGACGCGGAGCATCAGTACGCCACGCTAGAATTCAAGCATGCGTACGTACCCTGCACGCAAAAGCGGTCGCGCCACACGAACGAACGCTAGCGCGCTGGGCAAGGACGTGATGCGGCTGAGCGCCGAGGTCCAAGCGCTCAAGCAGACGCAGACCAAGTTACTGTCCAACCTCAGCGACGCCAAGAAGGAGCGAGAGGCCGCCGAGGCTGCGCTGCATCTCGAAGCTCAAACGCGCGAGGTGGCGATGGATGCTACGATCCGTGGCTTGCAGCGCAAGGAGCTGCAAATGACACGCGCCTTGCGGGAGGCCGAAGACCGCATCAAGCAGCTTCTCGAGGCACCACCCCCCGTCGCCCTCAGTAGCAGCCCTGAGGTGATGCTGCCATCGACTACCGAGTCGTCCAAGGCCAATGCACCAGTGCTCTCGACATCACCCAAGCCAGAGAGTCCGCCAAAGCCAACGCTCTCTCGCAAGACCACGTCGCGCGCCGAGTCGATCAAGGCGAGCCGCATCTACTCCGGCGCTCCGGTTGTCTACACCCATATGGACTCGACCACGGACTCCAGCTGCGTCACCGCCCCAGCGATGGACACCTTCCAAACAAAACCGCCCGCAGAGACACTCGCTGCTACGTCGTCGAGCAAGCTCCCGGGATCGTCTGCGAAGCTCACTTCGTCCACGCTGCCACCTCTCTCTTCACCGCGCACATCATTAAAGTCGCCACGGGCTGAGCCTTCCGTTGGCTGCTCGGATACGCTTGGTGTATCTTCTTCGATCCACCCCTCGTCCCCATTTTCTGCAGTGGCCGTGCCTTCTTCAATGCAGTGCACGTCCTCCGGGGCCGGCAGCATCGCCACCCGCCCGAGCCAAGTGCCCGAGACGGTAATAGGCCAGCGCATCGTCGATGCGCCGGGACAAAGCCCGAACGTGCCACAGGACGACGTCACGGAGGCCAGCATGACCGCTACGGGGGCCAGCACACCTCGCTACGCTTTTCTGAGCCGAGGGCCGTTGCACCACGCATCCAGCGTCGACTTGCTCGGCGACACGATACCCGAAGAGGCTCCAACCAATACCCTTTCGATCCCGGTCGCCATGCAAGCACCAACGTCAGCAAGGGAGGCCCCATCCTGGCAGTTGGTTGCGCACGAGCTTTTGAACGCGGCGCCCGATAGTCTGGTACTCCGTCTGCGCTTCAAAGGTCCAGCCCAAGCCTCCGAGTCGGTCTCAACCCAGCACTGGACCTTGTGCCACTTGGCGACGCATGCTGGTATCGTCTTTCGCATTCCAGAAACCACCTTGCAAATTGACGCCTCCAATGATGTCCTCGTCGTCGTCAAGATGCAGTTGGGGTCAAGCCCGTCGCCAGCTAACGCACTGGGCGTCGTTGAACGGACAAGCCATGAGCCAGTGCCCATGTTGAAGACGTTGCACTCGATCACGGCGCTGTCGACAGCGACGCGAAGTGCGCGATCGAGTGGGCCATCGGACGACGAAGCACCCTTTCTCACGGCTCTCGGAGTGGTCGACGTACCCGACAACAAGAGCCGGCCAATAACGGCGCGGTCCAGCCACGAGAGACCCCTTACAGGACGACACAGCGCAAGAGGCGAAAGCTACGCTACCGCCCATAGAACAGCATCTGACTTGCCCTCGGCCAGCAAGACCTCGGACAAGTCGCTCTCGTCACCAGCAGTATGCCGCAGCAAACTAATGCTTTGCGATGTTGGCGACATGGATCGGCTCATGGGCGTTCGATTGAAAGACGCTCCGGCAGCCGCGATCTCGAATGATGCCCGCACGTCAGCGCACGCGACACCACCCTCAACGAGCCGTGAGATCACCAGCCTTGGTGCAGAATTGGAAGCCACGCGCAATGCATCGAGATATCCGACGGAGTCGACTTCGCCGAGTTCAGCCATGGCCATTCAGCCAGATTTTGTGCAGCCCAATGCAGCGAGGACGACGACAGAGGCAAGTGGGCTGCGACAGAATGGGCTAGAGACAACCGGAAGCGTCTTGCTGGAGGGCGGACGAAGCGCGCTTCGACGCTTCTCGGACGATGGGGCGGCGACCGGTTGTATTTCGTACCTCTCTTCGCCCGAAGCGGGTCGTAGTGTCCCAAGGCGCGACGCCGACACCGTATGTCGACCGGCGCGACGCCTCTCCATTGTACACTCGCCCCTCAAGACCGACGTTGAGCCGCCGCAGGTCACCGACAAGATGCTCGACGTGATGGAGCGACCGCGCACGAGCTCTGGGACAATTGCTGCGTGGAAAACGGGGATGCCGAGTCGGGGCCTCTTGGTCGGCGACGGTCGTCCACAAACGCGGCCCAAGACCTGCGCCTGCTTCAAAAACGCGGACTTTTTCAAGAATTCTGCCCGGCTGACAAGCCACCACGAGCACTGTCCGCTCGCGGACGAGCCGCGCCGCCGCCGCCGGCACTCGCTTGCAGCGACCATAGTGCTTGACAAGACGGTGGACTGCTGCCTTTGGTCGCCGGCCAGCGTCAACGTGGTGCAGATCCAGTTTCCAACCAATGTCGCCTCAAATCCGTAAACGCACCGACTTGCATAGCGCTGTATATCTATCAATGTATCAAAGCCCAAACACCATCCGAAGCATTCGTGTCCAATCCAACGACCATAAGCGCGAACCACATGAGTGACGTCTACAGCACTTGTAGGGTTAGGGTAGGTCTAGGTTTATAAAGGCGCACCAAATTTTCAGGCTCTAGCCCGAGCCCATTAGAAACCAAAGGGTCCAATCAACATAACATCAGCGAGTTCTAACGCGGTGCATACCCACGTACACTTCACAAGTCTTTTGGATCGCATTTGAGCGACGCAGAGACGGCGGCGCGCGATGCCAACGACAGCCACATGCCCTTTTCTGGTGTGATGGAGACGCCGACAGCGTTGGGTATGACGCAAGGTGCGTCGTCTGGGCGACTCACGACACACCGGCGCAAGACCGTCACAAGCATCACCGTGGCCTCCAGCTGGGCAAAGCGCATGCCAACGCAGTTGCAGGGCCCGCCCGAGAAGGTCATGAACCGGAACGCGCGGTCTTTGGCAGCAACACCACTCGTGACAGCCGACGTGTCATCCAAGTGACGCTCGGGCTTGAACTCGTCTGCGTCGTCGCCCTAGTTGAGCGTTGATCGGTTCACAAACCAGATCGGAATTGTCATGATCGTGCCTGCTGGGATGCAATGGCCGTCGAGCATCAGCGGCGCCTCGAGGTTGCGCACCGCAATGGGGCTGGCGGGGAATAGTCGCATCGCCTCCGTGAGCACAGCCGAGACATACGGCAGTCGCTGCATCGCCTCGTATGTGATGGGTGTCGTCTTGCCGACAACAGCGTCGATGTCAGCCACCGCCGTGGCTTTCACGTCCGGATGCATCGCGAGGAGGTAGAGGCCATACGCCATGCTCGTGCTAATCGTGTCCGAGCCCGCAAGGACAAACGTAAACACATTGTCTGCAAACGTCTCGGCGTCCATCGGCGAGTTGTCGGCAGACGCGGCGTCAACCAGGGCTTGGAGGAGATCGTGGTAATATGTTGCCTCCGACGTGTCTGCATGCAAGGCCCGCAGCCGCGCTTCCACGATCTCGTTGAGAATCGAGCGAGCAAGAGTCGCTTCCTTGACGAATCGGCGGTTGGCGGGTGTGGGGACCCAGTGCAAGTGGCTCAGCGGCTTGTGGGCCTCGTCAAAGCAGCGCCGGTTGGTCTCGCTCAAGAGAAAGGCGAGTGCTGACGCCATCGGGTTGTTGGCGTCGTGTAGCGACTGCAGGTCGTAGCCAAAGCCCGTGCGCCCGATGGTATCAAGCGCCGACCGCTTCAGCAGCGAAAACACGTCGATCGATGGCGTCTCTGCATTCAGCCAGACGTTTGTAAACGTCTCGGCAATCAACGCCATGGCGGGGACCATCGCAGCAAGGTTCTGCCACTGAAAGGCCCGCGAGACGAGGCGCCGATGGAGCTTCCACTCGTCGCGCATGAGCAGCACGAGCGACCGCTTCCCAATGAGCCGCGCAATGTGCATGTCGATGACAGGCACGGGCGCACGGTAGCTACACGCGTTCACGACCTGGCGCACATGGTCGGCGCGCGTCACGGCCACGCTGGACCATGCTGCGGTAGGAGACGACGCCGTTGTCATTGGCAGCATCGACGAAGAGACGCCGCATGCCCGAGAGTGTCGAGAGCTGCATGGCGGCACCGACGAACGGGACGTGGAGCGCGGCTGGGAACGGAAGGCCATCCAGGAACGGGGCGTTGCAGCCGGAGCGGTGGCACACGCCCGCCAGCGCAACGATGAGAATCGCAGCAACCAGGGATGGCACGTCGAGCATGCTTGGTGATTCTGAGGTCGGCTCAGTGTCTGACCATCTTGACTTGGCAATCCGAGCCAAGGGCAAAGTGGCGTTGGATTGGTGCATTGTAGCCAATCAGCGCGCGGCATTGCGAATCTTCTCGAGTGGCGATCAGAATTACTTGGTGACCAGCCACAGCACAGAGTTCTGTCTTGCGCATAGCGCGGAGTCTCGGTCCACGCTTCAGACACCATCATCGCACACACGCAGAAGCAGCCATTGATGTTACTACGTTCAAAATACGATGCGAGCTCGGTGTCTCAACTCACTGCGTCGAACTGTCAAGTACCAAACAGATGCTACGCCGACACGGCGGCACGCGGCGTCAGTGAAAGCCACATGCCGCCCTCGGGTGTGATCGAGATGCCGACCGCAGTGGGCTCCACCGACGGCGCGTCACTCGGGCGCGTCACGATGCATTGGCGCAAGATCGTCGTTAGCAGCACGGTGGCCTCCAACTGCGCAAACCGCATGCCAACGCAGTTGCGCGGGCCGCCCGAGAAGCTTACGAACCGATACGCGCGGTCTTTGGCCGCGAACCGATCGCAGTCGGCTGCGAGGTGGCGCTCGGGCTTGAACTCGGCAGCGTCGTCGCCCCAGTTGAGCGGCGATCGGTTGATAAACCACATGGGCAGCGCAAGCAGCGTGCCCGCCGGCACCACATGATCGCCAAGCACCAAGTCCGAGTCTGCGTGGCGGTAGGTAAACGGCGCGGGAGCGTAGAGGCGAAGGGCCTCCGTGAGAACCGCCGAGACATACGGCAGCTGCTGCATTGCTTCATACGTGATGGGCGATGACTGACCCACGACCTTGTCGATCTCGGCGACTGCCTTGGCTTGCACGTCCCGGTGCGTTGCGAGAAGGAAGAGCGTGTACGCCATGGCCGAGCTCGTCGTGTCCGAGCCGGCAAAGAAGAAGGTGACGACGTTGTCGGCAAGCGTCTTGGCATCCATTGGCGAGTTGTCGGCGGACGCTGCCTCCAGCATCGCCTCCAGCAGATCATGATGCCGCAAGGACGAGGTGGCATGGGACATCATGCGTGCTTGGATGATGCTGTGCAGCGTCGTGCGAACGGTACTCACGGCTTCGGCATGCCGACGGTTCGTCCGCGTTGGGAGCCAGTAGAGATGGCTGCTCGGGTGCAGTGGCTGCTCGAGGCAGCGCCGGTTGATTTCGTTGACCAGAAAGTCGAGAGCCGACGCCATCGGGTTGGCCGCATCGCGCAGCGCGCCCATGTCGTAGCCAAAGCCCGTGCGTCCGATGGTGTCGAGTGCAAGGCGCTTCAATAGCGGGAACACATCGATCGACGGCGTCGCTGCGCCGCGCCAGACGTTAGTAAACGTCTCGGCAATGGACGCCATGGCGGGAACCATCGCAGCAAGGTTTTGCCATTGAAAGGCCCGCGAGACGAGCCGCCGATGGAGCTTCCACTCGTCGCGCATGAGCAGCGAGACCGAGCGGTCGCCCAAGAAGGCCTGCATGTGCATGTCAATGATCGGTGTCGGCCCGCGGTTCGTTGTCGCCATGTAGACTTGGCGCACGTGGTCGGCGCGCGTCACGGCCACGCTGGGCTGCGAGAGAAGTCGGAACGAGACCATGCCGTTGGCGTCGGCAGCATCGACGAAGAGGCGCGTCATGCCCTCGAGCGTCGACATCTCGACGGCGACACCGACAAAGGGCCTGTGCAGGCCTGCCGGGAATGGCAGCCCGGGCAGGAACGGCGCGTTGCGACCGTAGCGGTGGTACACGTAGGCGACGACGATGACAAGGATGGCGGCGCCAGCAGACATGACAGATCCTTCCATGATCGCGGTCGATGCGCAACTCTTAATGCACGTGCTGGCAAGATGGACGTTCGTTCGAAATTTGGGGCGATTTGATTGGCGCGTGAACGCCGGGCATAGCACCAGTTTGCAACATGACGTGGCACGCTGAGTGTCATTTTAGTGTGCTTTGTCGATGGCCATGTACGATTGATTTCCCTTTCCTATTTCGTCTATTTGCAAAAAGCTCATTGCAGAAAGGCGACACATGCAGACACTTGCGATGCGTACATACACATGCCACTAACCTTAAGGAGCGCGCGAGGCATGAACTTGGCATCGAATGTCGCGACCGACGACGGCGCGACGGCCCGGAAAGTCTGCGCCCCGCAGAGCAGCAAAGGTTGAGCGATGACTTTCGTCTAGGCCAACGCGCCGTCGTCCCAACTACCGTTTGGCAACGCTTCGCATCCACGTCTCATACAAATCGTTCGTGCCAGCTCAGCTCGCACGCGACCAGTTTAAAAACGCATTGAAACAAACATCAGTCGAGTTCACCTTGTGGTCATAGTATTGTGTGCTGTTTATATACAGTGTATAAAGTCGTATTGGAGGATCCAGTGTCTACTCGTCTTCCTTGCAGTGGTGCTGCACGGGACTGCCCGTCTCAGCCCACAGATTCGCGGGTGTGATCTTGTCGAGCTGAAGGCCACGGGACGAGGCCCAGCGCATCAGGTTCTCGGGCGCGTACTTCATGGCCTTGTTTTGGTAGCGCTCAAACACAGTCTTGTCGATGGTCTCGTTCACTGACGTGTCCTCGTTGATCTTGCGCAAATGCGTATGGCCTAGCATCATGACGCGCTGCTTCCAGTCAATGTCCATTTGCTCGCTGTCGCGGAGGTGCTCGGTGCCATCGAGCGTA